GAATAGCCCGGTGCCGGACACGCTCGGTGCTGGCTATCGGTCCTGCGGCTTTGCGCCCTACCTGCAGTTTATCAGAGACAGCGTCTTCCTCAACTTTGACATGCGCTCCTACCGGCGATCAGGGGAAAAGGTAAGTTGGCCGCTCGTGTTCTCGTATCCGTACGTTTGTATTGCTATGTGATGGCTTACTGCAGTTTGCGCTCGCTGAAATCCGGCCCAAAGTGCGAAAACTGGCACCCTGGACCAGCTGTTCCGATTCCATCTCTATACTTGATTCATTGCTGTGTAATATTGTATTACTTGCTCTGTCCAGTGGACATTGAGCACTGTAAGCAGCCTAGGGACTTTAGACAACTGTCTATACTTGTACATGTGTATGTCCAGCCCCATCTATACTACCTGTACTTCCAGGGCTTCAAGGGCCGTGCAAGTTGAGGGCGCCAGATATGCGCTTTGGGTCGGATTTCACTGTAGAGTGAAACCTGTCTAAGGCGACCGCTCAAGGACCTTCAAAATGTGGTCTCTGTGAACAGGTGGTCTTCTTATCCATAGCATCCCTTGGTCGTGGTTGCAACGGTCTTCTTGGACAGGTGGTCGTCTTACCCGAGTGGTCGCCTTGACAGGTTTTACTGTACTTGTCGAATTTACTTAGCTGTTAGACTTTGTATCGGTTGTCTATCCCCGTTTTCATTCCTTGCCAGCATCTGTTGTGGGATCAGAAGATCATATAAGCTCAGCAGTTTGGCCCAGTTCTGTTCATGGGTGGGTTTAAAGGCACGCGTATAATTATTCTAACTGTCAGGTTTGGCCTCGTTTTTTCTGTGCTGCGCTGATGAGTTCACTAAGAATGAAACAGCATGCTGTCCGCAGGTGGAGTATATTGTAACTGTCTGCGTGTATTGCTCTGCTTGGCGTGTACCATCCAGTGGGAGGTTTGCTGTGCGGCACTAGAAATCCTCCAGCTGCTGCTGGCCGAGCACCAGCCGGCCGCAAGCAACTTCACCAGCGGTGCACTGGCAGATGCCAGCCACCAGCAGGTCCAGCACGGCAGCAGCATGGATCTCGGCGCACCGCCTGGACACACCATCCTGCTGCACATGCTCAACGAGTCGCCACTGCTTACCAAGGTTAGCTTGCTGCTTCAGCGTGTGTACCGTATTCTCGGCAATACTGGCCAAGGCACTTACTGTGACTTAGTAGTTTGTGAGCCCTCAAATTTCGTTATTTCACCCCGTTTGAAAAAAATCCACGTACAGCCCTGCAATGATGAGGCGCTTATCTCAGATAGGGGCGGTGATAAAAGAATTAGATGATTAAAGATCGGCCCCGATTCCAGAAAATACAGTAACTTGTGGTCATAGCACATCTACGTGCCACCTTGGGAAGGCCTTTCAATCGTTGAGGGTGTCACTGCTGCCAGGAACATTGTCATTTCATGATGTAAACCAGAGAGGTTCCAGGCTGTTTAATAGAGTGCTCAATACCGAAAGCCAGAGCTAGTTCGAACAATGATAACAGGAAAATAAGTGTTTTAACTCCGAGTTTCACGCACTATAAAGCGAACATCAGAAAACAGTCAATTATTGTTCATTTCATGATGTGTATGTAGTTTAGGCGAGTCTGAGATACGGGCAGTGCTAGGTCCCAAGGTGCCCGGATAAGAGACGTCCGAGTGTAGTTGCATATGACAGCTGGAAACCATCGCCTGTTCATGTGAATAGAGCTCAGCGAATGCTGATTGTTCTCAGCCATATGCCTAGCAAGCGATGGGTACCATGCATGTACATGTTGTCGTTGCTACGATGTGATGTTCCTCTAGAGTAACTTTGACAGCCCGAGCTAGTGCCTGTAGCCTATCGTTTGCTCTGGTGCTGTTCGTTCCACTGAGAATGTTTTGTTTGCTGTCTATGACTGCTATGCTGTTGTGTGTGTGTGTGTGTGTGTGCGTGTGTGTGTGTGTGTGTGTGTGCGTGCATGTAGGTTCTGAACGTCATCTTTGACAGTGCTGTTGAGCTTGGCGATGTCACTGGTGTATCATCGGGTAAGGAAGCCTTGTTTTGATTTCCACTTACAGAATGTAGGGCTGGTACCATAACCGTACCCATCACGGGGCTGGGTCTTTGCTTGGACAGAGGTTTTACACTGCACATTCCGTTAATCAGTGCAGCCGACTGAGGCCAGAATAAAGATGGCTAGGTGTATGATATAACCTGACAGATTTGTATATGTGCATGTGTGTGTGTGTGTGTGTGTGTGTGTGTGTGTGTGTGTGTGTGTGTGTGTGTGTGTGTGTGTGTGTGTGTGTGTGCATGTGTGCATGTGTGCATGTGTGTGTGCATGCATAATTGATGTTGTATCTGTACAGTGCCCAGTCATCTTGCATCAGTGGAACAGGCAGGTCTGCTGGCCCTACGCATGCTGGAGAACGCGCTGGCCAAGCAGGAAGCGTTTAACCAGCTGCTTCGAGAGCACGGCGGTGCACAGTGCAGTGTGCTTGTCACTCCCTTGGACCAGCTCCTGCTCACTGTCAACAGTCGCACGTCACGTCCCGACTACTTCCTGCACATAGCAAAGTGAGATACGCTGGCTGGTTGTTGGTGCAGTTCATGTCCACTGTGTTATAGACCTGATGTTATGTGCTATGTACAGTAAAAACCTGTCAAGGAGACCACTCTGATAAGGTGATCATCTGTCCTCGAGGACCACTGCAACCAGGACCATGGGGTGCCATTTCCAGTCAAATGGCCCTGGATAAGGAGACCACCTGTACGTGGGGACCACATTTGTAAGGTCCCCTGAGCGGTCACCTTAGACAGGTTCTCACTCTATTCAGTCAAAGCTGTCACCGTGCCCTTGCATGGGGTCTGTTTCAGTCCATATTCCCGAAGTCCTGTGGTTGCTATGCTGCATAAACAGTGGAGTCGCTTTCTTTGCAAATATAGTTTTCTGTTTGACCCAACTTCTTGTTGGGTGCTGCTGGAAGTGTCTTGTGGATGAAAAAAGGAAGTTTCCTGATGTTTCCCCACAGCATGTGCATCAGTCTCATTTAACCTGTGCAGTGTGGGCGTCTTTCAGTCTTTCAGCTCCTCGGTTTTGCATGTATCCGGGTGCTGTTGGTGATACTCTGTGTGTCTGTGTGTTTGTGTGGATGCATATTTCTGTGTGTGTGTGTGTGCGTGCGCGTACGTACGTGTGTGCCTTATCAGGTTCCTCTCGCTGCCGCATTGCCGGCCGGAACTTGCGCTAGCTGCTGTCAAGATTCTGGGTTGGTCCGTACAGTCTCCCCCAGTGCACAACAAACTGGTTGCCATTCTTACCAGCTCTGAGGTGTGTAAGCTTTTGCCGCTGTACATATGTGCGTGCGTGCTGTTGTGTGTGTGTGTGTGCGTGCGTGTGTGTGTGTGCGTGTTTTTGTAGTGTTCTGTTGGCATGTACTTAACGCTGCCAAGGCCAAGTACGTCTGATGGTTATCTGCACTCTGTGGGAAAGACGGTTTCGGTAGTGGCTTGTTCTAAACCAGAAGCCAGAGAAGACTAATGTGCAGTTTCGCATGGTGCCTGTCCTTTCATGAGCTGTGTTAGAAGCTGGGTGCCTGGTGAGCTACGTGTACCACATGTTCATGACGTTAACGTGGTGTTCCCTTGCACTGTGCCAACCATTTAGGTTGATGCACAGGCCATCTTGCTGGGCTTTGTTGAGCGTCTCGAGGCGGACGAATCTGAAGTGTATCAAGGAGAGATCGAACAAGGTACGTACTAAATCTTGCGTGCAGTAAGTGAGCAGTGCATTGTGTTGAACTGCATTTTCTCTAGCTGTGCATTGGCATGGCTGTGAAGTGTTAACCCAGCCAGGTGTTATATTTGTGCTGGTGTTTTAGGCGGGCAGTTTACATAATATTTAAATCTGCTATCTGAAAACGATTTACACGTATTTTGTATGCAACAACAAGAATAAGAGGACGAAAAAAGTGTTTTTACTCCGAGTTTCACGCACTAAGCAATCATCAGAAACTTATTCTTGTTTGAACTAGCTCTGGTGTTCGCCATTGTCATTGAGCACTCTATTGGACAGCCTGGAACCTCTCTGTTTTACATATTTCGTAGTATAGTTTTTTGTCAGTTTTTCCATCCAGAATTCGTTAAAAAAATTCCGTCTTAGGCCGAGTAAAAAAAATTACTAGATGATCGTCCTTTTTTTTGGAAAAATCGGGGAGGGCGGGAGGATTTTATTTTTATTTTTTTACTTTTTACCCTCTCATGCACACAGTGTACACAACAACATCAAGGTTTTTTTTCTCTTTTTTTCTTTTTTTTTCTTTTTTTCTTTTTCTTTCTTCAGCAGATCGATACTGACGTTGTGATATACTAGTAGTATGTGGTCCATATAGTAAAACTCACGATTTAAAAAATAAAATATTTCTTGGGGCGCTGACAAAAACTGGGGCGGACGGGGACGATCATCTAGCTTTTTTTTTTACTTGGCCTTATAGTATGCGGTCTTACAGTATTCACTGATTTGTTTTCTGTCTGTGTGCACCCACACGCGTTGCACAGATCCCAGTACGCCAAGTCAGATTCGCGCTGCCATCCGCAGGCACATCTTGCACATGCTGCTGCTGGCCCTGCCCTGCCACGCGCCCAACCTGGCCCACTTTCTGCTCGGGTATGAGCTACTCAAGCCAGTTTCACAGACCACGCTCCAGGACCCAGGTGAGGCATGCCCGCGGTTCTTTCCTATGTTTTCATACTGTAAGGCATGAAATATAACGAGGAAGTTAATCGAGCGTTTTTTAGTAGTGGAACTTCTTCGTTCGAATTAATTCCATACGGACCATAATGTTCTGCGTGGGATGTGCCTGTCAACTCCCAGATCGCTAACATACCTTCTCGTTAGCCTACGAAGTTTGGATATTTGTTAAATTTGCAACTCGCTATGGTAGCTCGTCTTACAGTATATTCATGTTTAGTTGATCTTGTGCTAGTGGACACTCGTCATGCTAGTAGGCAGGAGGTTTGCCTAACCAATCGTCAACCGGGTATAGACTTCAATGTTCTACCTGGAAAGTGTTTGGATGTGATACAGTCGACTCCTGATATAAACGAACACCGTTGTGCAGGAGAATTAGTTCTTTTACTTTCTTCTTTAGGGGCCGTCCGTAAATATCGATGTTTTTTTAGAGACGATATTGGTGCTTCTCTCCCTTGACCCCCCTCCCTCCCCCCAGAAGACGCACATGTACATCTAGATCATGGAATCAATATTTTTGGATGCTCATGAAGTGCCCAGGATGTTGAGGGTCCGGTGTAGGCGTGAAAATCCCGCCGCACTCACGCTGCATCGCCTGGGGGGAGCGAACCGGGTTGGCGCTGCAGTGCTCAGCCATCGTGTACTGGTGTAGCCAAAGCGGCTACGCTCGGGCTTGAATTTTTTCAAATCCTTGTTCAGACAGTGAAGACTGGAAACTCTTGTGGAGTTCGTCCGTGTTTGTTCGCACTGCCTCTACGTCTTGAAAAAGGTCTCCCGCAGGCATCGTTCGGCCGATTTCCACAATCAATAGCTCATTCTTTTGCTCTTGAAATTCGCCATGGGCGTACAGCTTCCAATTTTTGATTTTGTTCTTGTGTCGCGAGTTTTAGCTCCGCGAACGGAAGCTGGTTTCACATTTCTTGTATAGCCATTTAGACGTCCGCGTGCAGGGATCGGCGAAACTTCAGATATTTACATCGATATTTTTCTGATGCTCGAAAAGACGCACATGGCTCAAACCCCCTCCCCCCCAGACGCACCAATATCGTCTCTAAAAAAACATCGATATTTACGGACGGCCCCTTATAGCCAAACTTCTTCTCAGTTTATAGCCGAAGTTCGTTATAACAGAAATACACTTGCACTGTGGGTTCAAACTGGGACATGGATACCAGTTCACTATAGTTATCATGAAATTCGCTATATGCGAGTTTGTTATAAGTGGAGTCGGCTGTACTACTTGCACTGTTGTAGGGTTCAAGTCCAACCCAACTGGCACTAGTTTATTGGTTGTACCGGTGTCCAGTCCAACCCAACTGCCAGTTTGTGGGTTGAGTTGGTGCTGGCTACTTGCCTGCACTTTCACAAAGACGGCGATGCACGGTTGGCCTATTTTCCCGTACCGGCCTAGAGAGAATATTATTGACCTAGTTGCAGTGGTGCATAGATACTCTATCTGTGTCCATTGCAGAGTCCAGTCGGTTTTCCAATGCTCCGGCTATTTGTGTGTGCGTGTGTGTGCGTGTGTGTGTGTGCGTGTGTGTGTGTGTTTGTCCAGGTGTTGGCGGATCGCCTCGCACGTGTCTCCACGCTATTCTCTCCTTGCTTGAGTGCCACTCGGCTGCACCGGCCTCATCACTGGCATGCCTGCCTGTAGCGTGCACGGCCAGTCCTCGCTTGGCTGCGCTGTGCTATCGCTTGCTCTATGAACTGTGCGCCGCATCCAGCACTAGTCTTGTAACATTGCGCTACCTGCGCTCCAGTCATGACTTCCTTGGGCAGCAGTTGCGCTTGACGCCGCCAGCTGAGCTCACTGAGACATCGGATAGCGCTCAGTTGGATGACGAGGGTCGCCAGCTGCAGCTTGATATGATGGAGCAACAGGTCCGTACCATATCTCTCTTTTTCTCTCTCTCTCTCTCTCTCTCTCTCTCTCTCTCTCTCTCACTCTGTCATGTTTTGGATCAACGCCTCTCATGTCTTCTGTTCCTGCTTGTTTGTGTGGAAATCGAATTCCTTATTTATTCCAGTGAGGAATGACATCTGCTCCTTAGCTTTTGTTTGAAGTATTAAGAAACACGTTCTGTAGGCACATTGCAGACAAGAGTTGTTGAACCCTTTTGAGCTGTTTTGAGGAAGCACATGTTACTGTCCTTTGACAGTGCAACATGTACTTGGTAGGTAAATGACAGTCTCTGTGTGTCTATGTATGTGTGTCTGTGTATGTGTGTGTCTGTGTATGTGTATGTCTGTATATGTACAGGTCGTCCCTCGTTAATACATAATCTCTGGGACTTGACAAATGTTATGTATTAACGGGGTTTATGTACTAAACGAAAGTGTACATATCTTGCTTGTGTATCAGAATTTTTCACATTTTTCAACTTTTCAGAGTGTTTCTTGCTGCCATGACTAGGGAGCGAGATATTCTTGATTCCCTCGATATAACATAAAAATTATGTTATAACGGTCACAGTCAGCGAAGATTCTACAGTTTTACTGTAAGACCAGACATTTTACATGATACCTGCCCAGTCGCCATGCCTGTACAGTCACTCGGGGAAAAACAGAGCTTTGTCAGTTTGTGATGTCCGCTCTGATTTCTGAGCTAATTGCGTCCACCAGTAGAAACTAGAACACGATGTGCCTCCACTGGAAGCCCAAAAGACCAACAAATTATGTACTATTGAGGTAGGTGGCATGTGGGTCCGGAGAAATGTTATGTACTAACGGGGTTTATGTACTAACGAATTATGTACTAACCGACACAATTTGTATGGAAGTGACCACGTTTCGTCCGGGACTTGAGATTTCTTATGTACTAACGGGGTTTATGTACTAACCGGACTCGTATTAACGGGGGACGACCTGTATCTGTCTGTCTGTGCTTGCAGACGTGGCTGTGGAGAATGGCAGCCCTTGACCTGCGGCTGACAGCGGAGCAGCAGCAGACATCTCACACGCAGCACATTGTCAGCATTCTCTTCTCCTCCGCAGCCAGTTGGACAAACTCCAGTGCTGGTGAGGCAGCATCTGGCTTCCCAGCATCCGCTCAGGCATCACAGGGCGCCTTGTCGGACAACAACCAGGAGAATCGCCTTCTCAGTCTTCTTGATTGCATTGATTTCAGGCAGGATAATTTTGACGCCTTCCAGCTACAGCACTTCAACTCTGCACTGGTCGAGGAGGTACGCGCAATACTAGCTTTCCCACGCTGATAATAATAAATGGATTTAATTTTGATGTGGGCTGAGGTGTGAGATTGCACTCATCAAAGATATAGGCAAAGCCACCATCAACCCAAGCTTGTGGATAGGCATTAGTTATTTTTGTTTACGCCCAGTAGCTAGCTTTGTAACTTTTTGGTGTGTGTGTGTGTGTGTGTGTGTGTGTGTGTGTGTGTGTGTGTGTGTGTGTGTGTGTGTGTGTGCGTTCATGTACGTGTTCGTGTATTTGTTGCAGGAACTGAACAAGCGAACTACTCGTACGGATGATCGCCTGTGCGTGGGTAGTTTTGAGCTGTACGACGTACGGGCCATTCACGTGCTGCTCATGCAAGAGCTGAACAGTGCACAAACAGCATCCGCTGCTTCTCAGCGACAGTTTGTGCTGGAGGTGAGTTGCACTGCCTCTCACACATGTTTGTCAGCCTATCACACAAGTCACACCGCTAATAGAATTCAAATTCGACGGGATTTGCGTACCGGGCAGGTCAAGAACAAGGAGTCGTACAACTCTCTGGTCAAGAACCACCTTTCCGCTTCCGTGGGACGCCACCACCCACACCGCTAAAAGAGGTTACTGTAAAATGTACTAATTTTTGACGCTGCAAAATTTCGGCATTTTATGATTCTTCGACATTTCGGCAGCGATACAAAATATTTTCGGCACGGCTGCGGTAAAGGTCAGTTCGTCGCCAAAGCCAATGTGAAAAATTTCATCAGCGTTTTAATTTAGGCATCCGTGGGGTCGGTGCCGAATATAGCCGGAATCAAATAGCTGCCGAAATGTATAATTACATCATCAATTGAGAGTGCTTGGCGAAGTCGTGGCACAGTGCCGCGCTAAGTCTTGCACAAGCAACTCGCCAATTATAAATCCACTGACTCACGCTATAATACTTAGCGCCCATCAGAAAATCCACTGACTCCTGCTATAATACTTAGCGCCCATTAGAAAATCCACTGACTCACGCTATATTACTTAGGGGCCATCCGTAAATACCGATATTTATTTAGAAACGAAAACTAGTCATTTCTCTTCACCTCTCTCTCTCTCTCCCCCCCCCCCCCCCCCCCCCGAGAAACGAACACATACAAATGGTACATAGCATCGATATTTTTGCCCTTTTTTTGTACATGCATGCACTGGTACACATACGTGTACATGTACATTGTATGTTTTAAAAATATGGAGAACATATTAGGGTTTTTTGACAACTTCCTTTAACCGGCATGTTCGGGTTCTCCACCGTCTCTGTGAAAACAGCCAACAGCATGAAGGTGTGCATTCCGGTTCTCCACCGTCTCCGTGAAAACAGCCAACAGCATGACGGTCTGCGTTCCGGTTCTCCGCCTTCTCCGCAACCAAAACAACTACCGTAAAGTCCGCTGCAAACGCCCACTTCGCAGCAAACGCCCACCCCAGCGGGTCCATACTATTTTCGTCTTTTTCAGGTCAATATAGTTGTAGAAAACTGGCATGAAGGTTGAATGCGTACGAAAACGGCTGTAATGCCTACAATCTGCCTATGTCTTACCAGGAGGCTCTACAAAAGCGATTGTCATCATCTTGCTGCCAAGAAAAACTTCTGTCGAGATTTCCTTTCATTCGATAAATGAGTCGTTTTTGTGGTAGTTCGCTCTCCATGTGGTAATGCCGTAGAATCCATCTGGTTTTCATGAATGTTCTGCACTTTCAGAACGGAACTGTGATTGTTTTGACGAAGCGTCATTCAACGACTTGACCGCTCGCAGTATTGCAGTTGCAAGTCGAACAGGGTATGTCACAGAAGCTAGTACAAGCTACACCTACAAAGTCGCTGCTAACTTGTTGAAAACTCTGAAGTGCTCGAGAAAAACCCTTGCCTTTGAGCGTTGCGTGATTTGGAAATGATCAGAAGTGTATTTGGTTCCTGCAATACTCTGTTCTTCGCTACCTTGTTAATCAGAAGAAACTCCCGTTTGGATTTGCGAAATAAAGCAACCATCATCATAAATCACGACGAGCTATCTCGTAGCGAGTGCCCAAAGAGATTTTGAAACCAGGAAAGTGGACATAGTTTACCGTAGAAAGCGCTCTTCCCACTACGGTATGAGATGCACTTTCGTACAGTAGAGGTGACAGTGCATGGGGTCAGTGTGTACAGGCCAGCAAATCTTGCAAAAATGGGGTGGGCGTTTGCAGCGGACTTTGCGGTAGAGGCAAAAAACATAATAGTGCATAGTGGTACAGAGGTATGTCTAGTCATTGCCATTCGCTGAACTTGAAAGTAGATACATGTATACAGTATAGTGCAGAAGAGGCAAAACAGGTCCAGAGCTTTCAAGCTGATGAACGCAGAACACTATTCGTACTTCGAAGTACGTACTTGTAAAAAAAAACAAGTAAAAACAGCAGGTATAGAATGCAGAATCACTTCTTCTTCGGTCGGCCACGGGCACTCTTGTGGCCGGCTTGACCCTTGTGTTTCAACAGCGCATAGTACGTGGAGAAAGCAAGTGTACAGCGCTCTGCACCATCACCATACCCACACAGATGCTGCTTGGGTGCATTGGTGGCGGGTGTGGCATCATGCGTCAGCTTCTTGTGCCGCGCCCAGTCGGCTGCTGACTGGAAAACACACCGGCAACGATCACATGAAAGCGGCATATCTGACGACTCATCGCGTGGTAGAAAAGCATCAGGCTTTTCTGCAGGCTGGCCGAGGGCAGTTGCCCCCTACACCATCTGCAGAAAGGTCTTGAAATGCCCCGGGTGGTCAGGATCAGGATTGGGGGTGAAGATGATCCCACCAGATGACTGCACCAGACTCATAGCCTTCTCACTGCGGACTGGCTGGTGAGTACAGTGGCTGCAGGCTGCGTCTCTGCCCTTCACAAAAGCCAGGAAGTGACTGCGTTGATCAATGTGTTTCATCAGGAACCCCTATTCCTTCCTGGCTGTAATCAGGGTGGGATCAGCCTTGAGTCCTGTCAAGCTTGCAGAGTTGAAACTCGCCATGGCATCCTGCTGACTTGCCTCTTCCTGCTTGCTTTCCCCGAAACACGACGCGGCTACTGGGAGCACAGGAAACCCATAATACTCTGTTCCTGCCTAGTGACTGCAGACTGTCTCCATGGCCACGTCATGGATTACAGATTCCTTTCGAAGCATATCGTCATTAGAGAGCCCTGTCCGCTGTGACTGTGGTTCGTCCTCTCCATGAAATCTGGACATCAATATCGTCGACCTCTGCTGTCAAGACGGAAGCAGGCGCAAGCCACGAAGCACCTTCGGTTTGCTTGGACTTCCATTTCTGGACCTCTGCAATAAAGTTCTCGGCCTGTTCGGAGTCGTCTTTCACCGCTTTCCACGCAGCCTGCCCTTCTCGGACCACAGTCTCTCTCGATTTCTCGCCACCATCGAATCTTTCTATGTATGCGTCAACGTACCTTTCGTAGAGAGGGTGTTTTTCCTTTTTAGCGTAGACAGCTGATCCAACCGCAAAAAACCCGAACAAGGTGAGCTGTCTTTTTTTCTTCCGTGATGGAGAAGACGCCGTGATTGTCCAAAGTGAAGCACTTGAGAATGACAACAAGCGTTTCCCAAACTCTGCTGTGAAGACTACAACATGATGTACATACGAGTACGTGTACTATGTGAGTTGTCACAGTCATTTGCCCTTGACTGACTGAGCTGTTGTGCCTGGCTTGGACTGGCCCTTGGCCCAGCGCCAGTTGCACAGCGAGAGCGGCACCACTGGTGCTGGCGCTGCAGACATCACCGGCGAGGAAGCGGACAGAAGGGAAGCCGGACGCAGGTCTTCGGAAGCGAATCAAAAAACGACTTCCACTCCTCGATTAGGTCCAACACCATGGCCGGGTCGGCGAGGGCACCTCAGCGAGTCCTACCGTACCTGGTATCGTGTATTCGACTCCCTGATGCCAGTACAGACACTAGGTGTAGATCTGCATCAGCCATCAGGGTGTCGGGTTTCAGGACTCGATGAAGCACATCGATCAATGGAGTCAACTGAGCTGATGCCGGTGCAGTAATACAGGTACAACAACTTCGGAGTCGGGTTTCACGACTCCGTGGAGTACACCGATCACCCGATCCGGCCGAGTCAACCAAGCTGAGGTCGTTTTATGGCAGTGCAGAGTATGTCTAGTCCACTCCACCACATGCACAGTCAGTATCAGTGCACTTAATGCAGCTACTACCAGTATGCCACTCGTTCACACCTAGGCTAGATATGGTCCACAACAAAGCCTAGCCGGAGGCTAGAACTATCGACAGGCTGGGCTGGCGATCTACCGTACTCATTGCAGTGCATTCCTGCATGGGCTGGACATGCTCACACTTCAATGTACCAACTGTACATCAATATTTTTTAGAGAAACGAACAGGCACTCAACCCCCCCCCCCCCCCCCATACGACTAGTTTTCATTTCTAAATAAATATCGATATTTACGGATGGCCCATTAGAAAATCCGCCCATGAAAAATCATTCTCATAACCTCTATACTGCCGGTATGTTTTCTACTATCTTGTTGCTGTGCGATACAGGAGATAGATTCCATCCTGCATGGCATCGTGCAGCGCAACGTCAATCGCCGTCGCCTCGCTGGCCGTCTGGCTTTCTTTGACGCCTGGCGGCAGGTCATCGAGGTCGTCCTCATCGCCTGCCCTATGGATCTGCTTGCTGGTGACCAGCGTATTGCACTGCTCTTTGAGATCATACAAGATCTGCTACTCAAGGTACGTTTGTATTTGTATTTATGGATTCTCCACGGTCCTTGGCCAATCGCGGGAGTCTCCGCTTTCCATGCTGTGCCTCATGTTGTGCTTTTAGTCTTCATGGCAGCAATGAGGCCGTGCGTGTTGATGTCATGGCCAGTAGTACGACGTATGCCTTGAGCAAGACGCACATCAATGCCCGTTCCATCACACCGCTTTTTTCCCCCTGCTGGACTGGCAGTGACATTTGTGTCTATAGCCGATGTTGGTGTATGGTAGTAATGTTGAGCAGCAGGACTGAGCGTCTGAAGTAGCTAGCTCCATAGACAATTCACTTTGTATTTTGCTGCTTGCAGTCATCTTGTAAACTGCGATGTGACTATGCCAGCACTACCAGCTGCAAAGCACTAGCAGAGCCCACTGTCTGTTCTGGAATGTGGAGGTCTCTCTCAGGTATCATGATTGCCTTCGCCTGTGTTTCATTCAGGTGCTGAGCGCTGACATCAACCCGGATCTGGTGAGTGCAATCCTGCCCGTCGTCATGCTGTTGATGAGCCAGCTACGGCAGAGCTTTGCTGCGCTGCGCACCAGTTCACAGCTGCCGGGACGTGGGGCGCCGTCGGCCGCGTCGCGCCAGGGCCTCCCGGCCGGACCGCTGCACAGCGTGCTGGTGTCTGTGTGCGAGGCCATCAGCCACTGCAGCTCCACACAGCGCCGCCACCGCGCCTACCTGTACGGTGCCCTGCTCTACTATCTCCAGCTGTGCGCCGACGCGGCAGCGCATGACAGTACGAGTGACGGCGCGAGCGCCTCAAGTGGAACAGACGGCGCATCTTCCTATTCGCAGGAGAGAGGGTTTGGTACGTAGCTACTTGATTCTATGTCGCCTTTATTATCCAGTGAAGACTGAATGTCTTCCTAAGAGTGTGCAGACTCCACTGTAGCCACTTCATTTTCACAGTTATACACCACTACCCAAAACGGTCTCTTGGCTACAATTTTTTTTAAAGACCAAGTGTTGTTGATAATTTATCTGATGTCGTTCTTTAGTGATCATTGCCCACTAGAATCCGTTCATTGTGGCAATGAATGCGTTAACTCGCGCATCAACAACAGGGAGCATTGTACCATGAATTCAGGGTTGAGCCGAAATGAACTGTCTGTGTGTGTGCGTGTGTATGTGTGTGTCTGTGTGTGCGTGTGTATGTGTGTGTCTGTGTGTGCGTGTGTCTGTGTGCGTGTGTCTGTGTGCGTGTGTGTGTGTCTGCGTGTGTGCGTGCTCCGCTATGATGTGTGTGTGTGCTGTGACACAGGTCTTGCTCAGCCCAGTATCTCCACCGTGTTGACCAGTAGCAACCTGGAAACACTGGCCAGCTACGGCGACGCCGTCATGGATATCATCTGTAGGGATGCATGCGAAGGACACCACATAGGACGGGTATGTGGATGCTTGCGATGCACGCACACACACGCACACACACACACACGCATGCACACACGCACACACATACATACATTCATACATACACGCGCACACACACGCACACACACACACACACACACACACACACACACACACACAGACTAGTTCATTTTAGTTATCGTATCATGTGAGTACCTAGGTTGAAATTGAATTGCGTATTCTGCTTGCTGAATGTGTTGCCTCTTCAATTGCTCTGCGTGTTTTGTGTACAGATGTTGGCATTGGCGCTTCTCGATGCTGTGATCTCAGTGGACTGGCATCACCACTGGCTGCAGTTTCTTGTGAGGCACGGCTATCTGCGCCATCTCATCGACTCACTGGTGCAGGAAGACGAGATGCTGCAGATGGCACTGCAGCCGAATCCTGAGCCGCTGCGTGCATTGTACATCTATGAATCCAAGATGGTGAGGCGACGTGTGTTATGTTTAACCCCTTTCTTCCCGTGTTCTCAGTGTAGTGTTGATGGCCATGTACTTCCTGTTGCACTACGCACACTTATTGTTGGACTTGTAGGATTTAGCTTGCCCGTTGTTGCACTCATTCTAAACACACCTGCAGGCTTGGCGTGTATCGGTAGTATATTCTAGTGATTGAATGCCTATCCCTTTGAGCATTGTACTCTTGATTGGAAAGAAAGTCTGTTGTTCAATGTCCACCCTGTTGTGAATCCCAACGTGTCGCTTGTTTTCTGTGTTATCAACTCTTATCCCGCTATACAGGCACTGCTCACGCGGCTTGCTCAGACCGCAAACGGTGCACAGGCTCTCCTGCAGCTTGGCCTGTTGGGTAAGCTGTCCGAGTGCCGCTACCTGCACACGCGGCCCGACCTCAGCGTTTCGTCTGGATTCAACCACGCTGCAGCAGCAGCGGCAGGGGACATGTCGGAAATGGGCGCAGACGACTCCTACTTCATGCCGTCGGTGCTGGAACGATATCGCCAGCTCATACTGCCGACACTGAAGCTGGTCGTGAGCGTTCAGACGTCCGCTGGACGACAGAACCGTGATGTGGCCGGACAAGTGAGTCATGGTGCTTCTGCTTCTGCTAGGTGCTACATGGACCAGTAAATTTGTCGAACACCTGAGAAAAAATATTGTTTATTTTTCCGGTGAAGGAGGCTCTGGTGCAACATATAGATGGGTGAGCTTGCTTGCTCCTACTCATTGCCGAGAGGGATTTTCTTACTCGCATGTCGACGGAATACTAGTAACCTGAGGACATGGAGGATAGCTCTGAACAACGCTGGCAACTTGAAATTGTAGAAACTCATTCAAACACACGGAATAGCATCATGCAGCATACGGAGAGGTAGAACACTGAAAAATCTGCTTTTAGAGGGTGCTCGACTTTCTGTGTATGTGGATCGTTTTAGATGTCATACTTTGTTGCGTTGGCGACCTCCACCAGAATTTTGTAAATATGCTGTTCTAAATATGCTGTTTGTAAATATGCTGTTCTCTACCTTGTGTGGCTGCATGCCTAAAAAAATGAATGTAATTTATGTCGTAAAACAGACCGGTGCCAGGCTGTTCAAAAGAGTGCTCAATGCCCGAGGGCAGAGCTCAATGCCCGAGGGCAGAGAGCTACTCACAACAAGAAGTAGAAGATGATGAATAACTCGTTGGGACTAATTTACGTCGTACAGTAGGTATCGGTTATAGCGTGGGCGTTTGAAAAACGACATTTGATTCTTATTGCCGATATTTCTTACACACGATAAATCACGTGTGACATATCATATGCACGTGTGACATCATACATGTACATGTACATGTATGCGCGCACGTTTGGCATGTAGACACGTACACATGATACACGTACACACGGATCAATCAGACTCGGGGTCGTGCTAGGCGACTGCGGAGCAGCGGATACGAGAGAAGTCGGAAGAAAGAGTCCGACTGAACAGAAAAAGTGATTCTCCAATGCTCAGTTGGACATAACTCTCTTTTTGTGTTGAATATTATTGTATTGAGTATGCACAGAGCACAGATGTTATTACTACAGGCGATACACTTTGCACTAATCTGGCATATTTTGCTACACAAAATCCATTCTTAGGGCCGATATATTCTACTATGCGATAATACTGCTTGTAAGAATAAATATACACATAAAATATGTGTTATGATTATGAAAAAATGAGTGTTCATTCTTGTAAGCAGTATATTCTTGTATACGACCACACTATAACCGATACGCACTGTACTCTGTTTGGGCTTATTTTTCCCGTTTCTGTCTGCTTTGCTAGGTGAGTCACTTTGTGTTCAGCCACGTCAACGTGTTCACAGCAATCCTGGAACAACAGGCGCACCCGCTAACACTGTCGGCACTGCACGAACTCATGCTCACCACTGCCGTAGTGGGGCAGATTGGCAGCGCTCCAGTTGCCAACACTGCCGGTAGGTACTGGGGCATTCTAATGGGTGTACGGGTTTTGATGCTGCTGCTTTTCTTCTGTTAGTGTTGTAGCTGCTTGCAGAGGTTGTCTTGTCTTCCCACTGTTTTGTGTGACTGTGTGCAGATGAACTTAGGTTATAATATTATGGTACATTGCTGTTGCTGTTGTTGTTGTTGTTGTTGTTGTTGTTGTTGTTGTTGTTGTTGTTGTTGTTGTTGTTGTTGTTGTTGTTGTTGTTGTTGTTGTTGTTGTTGTTGTTGTTGTTGTTGTTGTTGTTGTCACGCTGTCACATTGCTGCTTGTTATGCACACAGAGCACGTGTGTGTGTACCTACACCAGATATACCGTACTGGCCAGAGAACTCCCAGCCTGATGAATAGAATAGTGTCTGGCACTACACAGTCTTAGCTCTGCACACATTTTTCAGTTCACTCAAACTTTGCGGTACAATATTCACGAGGTTGGATTTCTCTGGCCAGAACTGTACAATGTACTTGATAGGCTGCTTCACTGCACAACTTTACTACGGCTGTACAGAATTGCCTCGCCTCAATCAAGATTCTGTAGCTGTTATTTTGTTTGTTTGTAGCGTCTCCCGTACTTGTTCATCTACCCAGATTTTTGTGCGGTGTGTTGTACGAAACAATCGGCGTGTACGCTAACAGTTCTCGTTTCCTGCTGCACTGTTTCTTTGTCGGCAGGAGTTGGCACGCAGATGGGTCAGCAGCAGCAAATACTACTGCTGCAACATGCTCATCTCAAGCGACTGATGCTTGGCTTATTGCCTCGCTATTGTCAGCCGCAAGCGTGGCCGGCCCTGGTCAAGCAGGTTGCCGAGTCTGACATTGGTCTGGAGCAGGCGAACAGCACGGGGCTGGCTGATCTTGTGGCTCAGAGCCGGGACGGAGCGTTGGGCAGCAAATCCACAGCCCCCTCCGGCGCTGCACCTAGCACGGCAGGATCTAGTTCTGCGCTCAGCTCGGTCAGCGAGCAGGCGACCATCTGGCTGCAGCAGATCTGTGCAAACACACTGACGTTCTGCCGTCACTACGTCTCCACTACGAGTAAGAGGTTACCTTGACTTGGAATGTGCTGTACTGTGCTCTACCCTTTTTAGCTGTGTGCCTTGTAGCTATCACATCCACACACGTTTATACTGCACTAGTGATGGTCAATGTTGCAATGTTGTATTTCTCTATGCTTGTGTGCCCCGGTCACCTCCAGCCCCAATGAAGCGAGCACCGCTGGAGACGACCATCTTCCATGCGGACATCTCTGATAGTTCGCTGCGTGAGGTTCGCCCTCAGTACAGTACAGGTAAGGTGAACTGGGCGGCAGGGGAAAAACTGTGCTTCCCGCCTCTCGTCAACTTATGGTGTTCAGCTGAAGATGACTACTCTCAACGGCGTAGCTCATGCTTGCTGACATGCTTGTCTGACTCAAGACTGGCGGTTGCCTTTCAGCCCGCAGAGAACACAAGCTCTGGCATTGGAAGCAGTCACCTTCTTCCAACATTTCTGCCAAATTCACCACTCAGATTCTAATTTTCTTTTTCTTTTCTTTTTTTGCCACCGGAAAAGACTTTGCAGGAAGCAACGGCGGAGCCAGCTGCTGACTTCCTGTTTTATGTACAGCTGCACTACAGTCCGTTTCAAAAAGATTTACAACCCTGGCGATCGCCCGCGGAGTTTGGCGTCTTACCGTATGAGCACTTGAGCGCTGCCTGGAAAAACTCACTGTGAACTCGAAGAAATATTCCGCGCGAAAGCAGGAAAAATGACAACTCGCTCACGTTGACACAGTCGTGGACGTACGTCTGGTTTACAACAAACGAGTTCTTCCTCGTATCGATAATGGAGGCAGAGAGTACATGTCGAAACGAAAGTGTTGTAAATGTTGACGAGCTGCATGGGTCCGTTTTGTGACCAAAATAGTTTCTTTGAGCTGCGGTGCAATTTACTCACCGTGTGACGAAAACGGCATCGACACGGACTCATTCCCAAGGTCATGACTTGGCAAAGCTATCCGTGTGACTTCGACGACATTTTGAGAAAGGCAAACGCTTGTGAACGCTGATAGAAGACGGCGTTGACTGCTAAATTCAAATAAATTGGCGATCTTGAAATACTAAAATAAATCTCAAAAAGCTACAGCGCGATGACTTCCATTATAATTCACTCACACCATTGCAGTGTTGTGGGTGTGTTCACATAGCGTGAGCCAGTCAAGTGTCAGTCAGTTCGGCAGGAAGCGCGAGCTCCAACAACAAGTCGTTTGGTGCAGCCACCTTCTTTGTCTTGTACCAGCTTGATCACCAAAACAATGGAAAAAAAGTTTGACGTGAGGATAGGTTGGGATTTGAACTCACAACTTCATGGTCAGCAGACAGCATTCATAACCACAAGGCCAAAAAGGAAAGGATAAATCGTGGGTTTTGATAAAAAATCGATACTGGCTTCCTGGGCAAATTGTAAACCATGGGAAAAGGCCGGAAACCTGGCCGAAATTCTAACTCCTTAACGGTTGGTCCAATTGTTCTGAAACCTTCACAGAACAATTTGCCGTGTCCTAACAAGCCATTCTATGTACTTTGTTGTCCAAATTTCCCTTATCTTCATACTTTTTAAGACCCAAACCTGATTGTAAATCTTTTTGAAACAGACTGTAGGCAGCTCGATAGATGTTGGCTTCCACGCATATCGGTAATATCAATACTACCAGGGATTTTCATGGGTGGCCTTGCCATGTGTTTATTTGCTCTTTCCTCCCTCCCTCCCTCTCTCTCTCTCTCTCTCTCTCTCTCTCTCTCTCTCTCTCTCTCTCTCTCTCTCTCTCTCTCTCTCTCTCTCTCTCTCTCTCTCTCTCTCTTCCTTTCTCTCCTCTCTATCTATCTATCACTTTCTCTTTCTCCCTCTCTTTCTCTCCTTCCCTATGCTATACATGCCTTTCTTGTTAGACTCGCATAACATGACACCATCTCCGCCACTCGCTGCACTAGTGCGCCAAGTACGACTGTCGGCCGACGCTGCCCAGCGCACATCGGACGAGCAGAAGAACTACCAGCGACGCCTGAAAACCCTCAGCCATCTATCTGTCGAGGATTGTCAGGAGGTCAGTTTGAGATTCCATTTGATGTTTGTCAGGAGGTCAGTTTGAGATTCCATTTGATGTTGCATAGGTGTAATGTTAAAATGTTGATATTAATTTTGGTTACCGATATATGCCTTTGTTTCCTATTGTGATTGGGATTATGCTTTTCTGTTTTCTTGCTCAGCTTCTGCCGAATGGTGTGGATTGGGCCAAACTGTCCACTTTGCAACGTCAACAAACAATCCGGCAGTACTTGTTGCGACTAGTCCAACACAAGACGCAACAAATCGACCTACTTCTTTGTATCCTCATCGTCGTTTTACCGATGCACTTCACGTGCACCCGTGCACATGCGCTCACACGTGCACACACGCGCGCACACGTACACGTGCACACATGCACACACGCGCGCGCGCGCGCACACACACACACACACACACACGCATGCATGCATGCACATACACACTGCCCAGTCAGTTAGTCTCTCGTTTTCTGTGTGTATGTCTGTCTCTCCCTCTCTCTCTTTCCATGTGTGTGTGTGTGTGTGTGTTTGTCTTTCTCTCTCCCACTCTCTCCATCTCTCTTTCTTCCTCTCCTCGCGTACATAACCCCTTTACTGCCATGCTGGAGTGTGATGTGAATGGGGTTGTCCACATGTTCCAAACTTGGGCTACGGCTGTAGATCCTTTGGCTTGTGCTTGTGGTCTATGCCACAAGACAGAGCACTGCACTACAAGTGGACAAGAGCAGTAGTAAGAGTTGAATCTCTAACGGGGGCACAAAGTCTAGCGTTTTAACGAGAAAGAACCCATTGGTAGCTCAAGAAACGTTACACGTATATTATTCCTTCTCTCCTCTGTACTGGAGAAATAGAAGACAGGCGTGTGCTCGCAGGGGTCTTCTAACATTAGACTTGTCACACTTCAACTGTCACAGTATTGCACATACATATACCTGGCATCTTGCCTGCCATCCGATTTGTATATACGCTTGCCTTGACTTCACACTGTATTATAGATATTATCGAAACATCACTGTTTATCTTGTGGCGGCATGTAGAATTCTACTTTCTCCACGTGAAGGTGACGGACGATGCGACGAACGTGTTACGGCTCAATCAGCCAACACCGAAGAAAATGCGTTCACTAGGAGAGCGTAAGTTCCTGATGATTTCTAGGCGTGTGCGTGTGCGTGTGTGTGTGCGTGTGTGTGTGTGTGTGTGTGTGTGTGTGTGTGTGTGTGTGTGTGTGTGTGTGTGTGTCCCATATGGTGCAGTGGTACGTGCAGTCGATTTCCAATCGAGAGGTTGCGGGTTCAATTCCCAACGATTATGGTCGCAGACGTCTTTCTTCTCTTTCTCGGACTCTTCCTGACTTTTCTTTCATTCTCCTGGGTGGTTACCAATCGCCAGTGTATGCCGGAGTATGTGGTGTGGTGTGTGTAGAAAAAAATGGAAAGATGAAAAATAGGGATTCACTGGCCAGAAAAAATCACTTCAAACAGCTGTGTGGTGGATACCAGGCTAAAAATAGTGGCAGTGAATTCATCAGCCTTGCAAACTGTTGAATGGTGTAATCCCAGCACAAGTTGCTATGTCTAACATAGCTGTTCGCTATCATCGCTTCCGCGATGGGCATGTCTGAGGTCTGAGGTGTGTGTGTGGTGTGAATCTACTACAAAGAAGCCAAGTCCGAAGGAAACTAAAAGTTTCTTATCTGCATCTTCTTTTTCAGCTTGAAATTGCCTGCTCTTGATTCTGTACTCTCTTGCCTGACATATGTGATTTAACCCTCAGCCTTCAGAGAACAGAATGTGCACGGCACGACAGAATCTGACAGCGTTGCGCTGGATTCTGGTGGCCTGAGTATTTCTCGTCAGCAATCCAATCAGGTCAGTGTTAACCGGCGTCTTCAGTAGCGTACCCGGCCGTTACGTTACGTGTTACACACATATCTTCAGCGTGATATGAGACCTGTGTCTTGAATTCAGTTCTGTGGTGTTGCACCCGTATTGTATTGTATTGTTGGTGTTTTGCACAGTCTGTGTGGCGTCTTTAGTATTGTATACTGTATATGCCAATAGTGTTACACCTAGGGCCGTATTGCCAGTGTTTTGCACAGTTCATATTAACTCTACTTGTGTGGCTCTGTGCTCCTGGACCCCTAGGTACTCGTACACGGGCTTCGAAACCTGGCGCCCACGAGTTATTTGATATAAATGTATAGTCACGAACGAGTATAGACACACGGCCGCAGTTTCAGATGCTTCGTTTTGGGTGTGTCACTTCAAGTTTTACTTTTACTTTTTCACTATCCACTCCCTGCTTAGAAAGAAAACAATCATTGCATGTGTACACATGCTTCCCAACACAGTGTACTAGGACAGTGGTGTGATGTTTTACGGAACGAAACTAGTTAACTCCCTTACACCCTGTAACGAAATTGTTTAGTTTCGTGTTTGAAATGCTGATACATGTATTTCTGTGTGTTCTGAACACTCCTTGCGTAATGCAGTTCAAGATGGATGCAGTTGTCGCGCTGTCCGATGCTTTCCTGAAGAAGCTTGTAGATCTAGAAGTGGTAAGTTGAGAAATGAAACACATTAGACACCCTTAGCAAACAACGGTAACGCTATTTTTTACGGTACTCGTACCTTGATCACCCAAATAGCGTTGAAGCTGCAGCGTATAAACGTTATGGGGGCTGATTTATCGTTGTGACCAACGGTACGTGTTTTGGCCAAATATTGCATAGTCCGTACGCATTTCACCTTGTATCGCGTATATGGTGACCAAAATGGTTGTACCGCGCGAAATCAAAGCTATTCTCGTGGCAACAGCGTACTAAAAATAGCGTGCATCTTGCTAAAGGTCGAACCCAAATCACGGTATTTTCCCCCTTACGATAATACCGTTACAACATAACGTTTTTTGCTAAGGGTGTCTATTGACACAGCCAGCTACACTATGTATGACATAGCTCAGTGGTTACTACTTGTAGTAGAACATCGCTGGCCTCAAGCGAACGTCTCTGGTTCGAATCCTGGTGGTGACAGTCAATTTTTTCTTCAGACTTTTCCCATTTGCACCTTTCCCTCCAAACAATGAAAACATGTTGTACATTCCTATGTTGAGAGAATGGACAATAGGGCTTGAAAGTGATGACGTCAAAACGGCCAGGGAGTAGTAAGTTGACATCAGATTTCTATTTTTGGATCCACTAAGGTGTGACTTTGCTATTGCCTAAGTATGTGGGTGCATAGCAACCCACTCATGTCGCATGCAGGTGTGACTTTTATTTCGCCACCAGTTGTAACCCCGCCCCCAGTAGCCAAATCAGTCAGTTTCACTGGCTACATCACCATGCTGTGGGTAAGACTGCTTGAAATGTGCTTGGCTCCATACAAAAACTGGATCCAAGTGGATCCAGTTTTTGAATTTTTGAAATTGTTGCTATGCTGTGACGTAGCACTTTCAAGCCCTATTGGACATGTTGTACAGTCTATTATTTTCCACTTCATTTGTTGGAGCACCCCAGTAGTTCAACTTCCACAGCAGGTCACATAAAAGGGCACCCATGCTCTCTGCTAGCTTGCACCAGTTGCCAAAAAAACATACGTACCCGACCGATCACTGAACCTTTTCTTTATTGATATGAATCATATGATGTATGTTTGTTTCAATGCAGCCTCATACTTATGTCAGTTACCCTGTCTTTGCTCTGCAATGACTATAGTACATATGTCATAATGTGTGTGCATCTCTGTTCAGACCCTCCCTTGCTCTGCAGTGACTATAGTGCATTATGTGGTTGTGTGTATCTCCTCTGTTCAGGGCTTGGCCAAGGGCAGCGGTGGATCCAAGGAGTTCATCCAGGTGTTTGTGAGGCGAATGAAGCGCCTTCTCAAACTCCAGCAGGGACCTGTGGCGAGCAGCTAACCAGCCGTAGCTGTTACTGGCGTGCTGCTTTCAACAAGTCAGGTAACCGACCTCCGATCCTTCCTCCTTCGCTCCTCTTACCCGCCTCTTTCTTGCTTGAGACATTGTATCCAATCTGTCGTCTATGCTACCCTGTTGCTGTCGTGTATGCCGTCCAGTGTGTTCCATACCCTTTAAATACCGCTTAGGCACGACATCATCATCATCATCATCATCATCACCATCATTTCCGCCACTATCAGCATTTCCGTCAAAATTCTTAGAACATATATTTGCGTACATTTTTTTTCTATCTTTCATACTTTGCTCCGGTCCTCCTGATGAGACCACTCCTCTCACTGTCTACCCATAGTATTTCTCATGGTTCCCTTCGTGTTCTTCTCTTCTTCTTTTTTTAACCTTTCTGTTGTCTTTGAGATTCGCCGTACGTGCGTGCGTGTTAGCATGTTGTACTTAGCGCCATGTCCTATATTTAAAACCTGCGTGTTTCAATTCCGTTGGTCTGTCCTCAAGACTACGTGTTAAAAGTATGTTTTTTGTTTTGTTAAGACGTGCGATGGGGTGTCTGGTCTTACGCTCATGCACATTTATTGTCCCTGGTGTGCTGTAGTGTAGTGTCCTGGTGTGCTGTAGTGTAGTGTCCTGGTGTGCTGTAGTGTAGACTAGTACCAAGAGTACATAAAGGCTTATGACTGTACTCTTGCTAGTACGTGATTGTAGGATTGTCTACTCTTTTTTTGGAGATAATTTGTGCAACTGCACCACCTAGCTCCGCGATGCTCCTATTTCCGAATGCGAACACTGTGATTGCGGGTGGTATGCAGTGCACAGTACCGATACGGTGACTGGTCATCCTTGAATGCCGCTGAGGTGGCCTAGCTTTCATGTCACAATGTGCTCCCGGGATTCCTCTTATTGGACGTGCACAGTTGGATCACGGATGATTACCATACTTGTATTGGATGTGCACAGTTGAACCTTGGATGAGGGGTATATTATGTGATACTCGCCACAGACTGTACGTCGTCTTGGCCATATACCGTACTTCCCCACATATATTAAAGCGCATGCGCTTATAAGCGAAAATTTGCTGCAAAAAAAGATCTTTGGCTGTGTAAACATGTTCGGGTAGAAGTCCATGCGCTTATATGCGCAATACAGGTTTGTCTGTGTCCTAAACAATGGTGTCATCACACTACTTAGTGGTATATTTCGCTCCCACCTTTTCACCAATATTGTTCACATATAAGCACATGCGCTTGTAATTGGGGGGTGCGCTTATATCCGGACATAAGCACATGCGCTTATATGTGCGGAAGTACAGTAGGCACAGCCAAGAGTGCATTAATAGTTTATGGACTCTTGGCACAGCCTATTATCTGCTATGAGAGGTACACTGTATAAACGTTAGAGCAGGAAGCGTCAAATACCCTCTTATAGCTTATCTCTCTCTCCTGTGCTAAGTGCGAGGGCAGTGCATATAATATTGTACTACCCTCACCAGGGAGCCATAGGCTAGTGCATGGCATGGCAGGGAGGGCCTTGTGGCTTGATACCAAGAGTACTCTTGTTGATACTAATGATAGTGCAGGCGCGTAGCCGGGGGGATGTCCCCCCGTAATTTTTTTGAAATTAGGGTGCAAAATCCTGCATTCTGGGCACTTTTGGCATTGTTTTACTATGGTGGTCGTGGTCCGATCCGGCGAAAAAGTGATCCGGACCGGCCGGAGCGGCTGCTACGCCCCTGTAGTGCCCGACAGGTTAGCCTGAGGCCCAAGGCTAACCTGAAGGGCACAAACAAGCCCAAGGACCTCCCTGCCATGTGCATAACTATTAATTTTAGAACGAGGCTACATGTATCTGAGGTTATAATTATGTATCTGATTCTCACTTCAAAGTAAGTGACTTGCATTATGCTTGTGTACCGATATTGGGTATAACCGGGAGTTCTGTGGTTTGTGTGCAGAGAGAATTGGTGTGGTATGATAGAATATTTTCTTCTGGTGACTCAGCACCAATGAGGACTACTAAAAGGAGAACAGATTTTTATACTAGAAGCAAATGAAATTCTGGGCTCTTATTGCGGGCTTCATTCTTATTGATAGCTTGTGGAGCTATTTTAGGGGCTTCGAGAGCCCCTTTTCGATACCTTGACTTTGATCTTCGGTTTTTATAGGGTTCCGCCAGCTGTTGACAAAGGAAAATCGTACAAATGAAAGAGTACGGGAGGCAAAAACCATACACACTTCTTAAATGCGTAGCTTCTAGTTGTACACCGGGCATTTTATGAGTTCATTATCTACACCGCACCATAATGCGTACAGGAAGTTGTACGCATCTGTTTAGAGTATATCCATCAAAGAGTAGTAAAATTACGATTGAGCGGGCTTTAAACTCTGATGAGGCCCTTGGCGGGAACGTCACTGATTGGTCGTCTCCTGGACAACGAGACAGATCTCCTTCTAAAAGGTATACAGTAGGTATGTGTAGGGCCGCTCCCGGGTCCTCACTACTGCAAGCATGCAGCAATCAACAGAGTTGTGGTCTGGCTCAGTATTTCCAGGCATGCATGCAGTTACGACAGAAACCTAAATGTTGTAAACCGGTTAACCGTGTCTTGAAAACACAAAAAAACAGACTTGTTACAGTACAGCCCGACGGTCGAAGTTACGGTGAACAGTAAAATGCTAACCATGTTTAATAAGCTGCCCGAGCTAATATTTAAAAAAAATTCTACTACTACTACTACTACTACATTTAAAAAGTTGCTTGGACTGAATTTCACTTGTTTTATTACTAGTGTATTATAGTTACTGCGCAGTACTGTGCATGCTAACTACATAATCATAATAACTATTTTTGGTTTTGCCCGTACAAGAGGCTTTTCTACATAAAAAAACTAGTGAGTATTTTCTCTTTGGCATGAGTATTGCATTCACACAAGTACATGTATCTCACTTTGTCTGTCTCTCTCCCTCGCGCGCGCGTGCACACACACACATACACACACAGTACTTGCTCACTGGCAAAACTGGTCACGTGGGTCTCCCCGGGAGAGGGGAGAGAGACTCAAAATAAAGGAATCTTGGAAAGATGGCTATTGAACCGCCCAACACCCCCTGAAGTCCCCAAACTATGGGTGGACTTGGAAATGATCCCACTTATGGACTCACCACACCTCAGTATTAAAGTGGGTGAGAACAAGGTGCAGAAAAAAGGATTGACGGCATCAGGGTATCCGTCCCGGGATCCAACTGCAGTAACCCCTGCCCCCAGTGAAGGTAATACTTGCTACTAATAGAAAGTACCGGGTATAATTATGAACCCTGAAACCAACAAAGGTGGTAGGTACAACAATACACCTTCAAGCAGCCGAGCCCGTTGGCAACAGACCCAACACTATCTGGCATAAGTGCACCCACCAGCCGAACTAGCTGACACACACACACACGAGTGCTTGAGTTAGAACGTTTCTCTGTTCAAACATACAACACACACACACACACATACATGTATAAGGCCTAGAATCAGCATATAAAAACAAGAAAACGGAGAACGCAGGAAAGTCATGCCCACTCCTTGTGCGGCGTAGCAAAGTTCGACTAGCCCTAAATCAGCATAAAAACATGATCCTGTACATAACGTTATTACATACTGCACAGCAGACAGATAATAGGATTATATTAACGTTAGGCTGTAAAAAACAAGGCAGCAAAGAAACCGACGAACCAGCTAGGGGAAAACAATCAGCAAGACGGTGCATGAAGCTCTGGGCATAGGTTGCAGCGGGTGGACATACAAGAACAACAAACACTACATGGCGAGCACGACAGTAACGATGAAGGCAAGAACAAGAAACACAAAATCAAGCTAGATATGTACAGCAATAGACAGAGCAAGTGGCGGGTTCCGTCCGACGATAAGCTACGAATCAGTGCAGGGCAGCTCGCGGAGAGCTGGAAATGTCAATGTACACCAGTGGAAAATACAGTATTGTATATGACCCACACAGACACTGCAGCTGTAGTCATCATGTCCAGCAACTACAGACAGCATCTGGTCGGAAAGTGTAGGTGAGGCGGGGCAAACAGATTTTTAACAATGGATCAGGGACGCCAGGGTTTTCAGGACACATGAACACAAATTCAATGATGAACGTGTCCTGCGTTGCATACGTACTACATATGCGAGATCTTCCAGGAGCACAGATCCGTGATGCACAGGCAACACAGAGTATAGATAGTAGCCAAAAAAGACCCAGAAGCAGCAGCAGCAGAAGCAGCAGCAGCAGTTGAATAGTCCAGCGTGTTCGGCAGATCCAGACAAACACACCGCGGCATGTACTTACAACACACCATGGCATGTACTTACAATGCGGAGAGCATGGTTCTAAGGTATATACACACCAACGCTCTCCAGTCGTTGAACTGTTGGGGCCTAAGGCATGAAACACATGACCGAGGGATAAGAAGACGGCGGCGACAGGCAACGTCGGTTCTACTTCCGCTTGCCTGTCATCTGGCTAGCATCACCTCTAGCCATGGCCGAAGTAGCTGCCGAGCCACCCTGGTTCCTCACCGATGACGAACCGCCGCCTTGTTTAGCGGCAGCAGCAGCTTGTCTCAGTTTCTGGCCCTGCTGGATCTGAATCTGGTTGGCGAGCGGGTGAATGCGGAAGCCGTACAGTCGCGGTTCGTACGTCTGTGCAACCGGAGGACATGGTCGCAGTTCTGGATGCACCATGAGCAGCATGTGAGGAAACCCGGTTCCCCAGTAGACACCGTCAATGCGGTGGTACCGGTGTGAGCGCGGTGTATATACATCTTTACAGCGTGGACAATACAATTTAACTGTGTGTTCACCGGGCACGTCCGAGAGACCGATGGGAAGCATTAGCTGGTTCTCACAGTAGACACGCGAGCAGTTGCCAAAGTCTCCATTCGTGTGCTTCTCAATCATCTGAACCAGCCCGACATTGGTAAGGATGAACCTTGCATGAATTAATCCATACAGTGTTTCTGCTGATTCCAAGATGTCATCTCTAACATCTGCGCTGGGCTCAACTCCGAGTATAATATCTATGGATTCTCTAAAATGAGGCACCTGTGACGCCAAGCCAGTTAAGTTAAACTCATCCTCGATGTATTCCTCATCAACTTCGCAGAAGAAGTCATTGCCTTTCAAGCTGCAGAACCACGTTATCCATGAGGATTCGTCCGAGCTACTCATGGTGGCCAGCTTTACGGGTGTTTGCAAGCCTCGCTGGCTTGCTAGCGAAACTCTGAAGGCCTAGTAGAAGCAACACAGGCCGAAAACAGACTTTCTCTGTCTGAACAGGACCTTTGAGAGGGTTCAAGACTCCGTTTTCCTCTTTCAAGAACAACTTTCCTCCGCACAGAAAAACAGTGCTTTGTAGCCCAGCGCAAATCACTCACGCGAAGCTACTGTACTGTGCAGTGTACGTGTGCTTCTATCATGCTGATTATCGAGCTAGCTAGCTCTCGATCGAGCTGCCGTTTTTCTTGAAACAAATCTTTTATGTTCCCATGCAACGCTGCTCAGAAAAAATCGGGTTGTAAGTTTATGACTCCTCCGAATCCACTACTGGTAGGTCTAGACCGGTCTACGTAGACCTACGTCGCGACGTCGTAGTATGTGTACCGTGTTTTGGTACGTAGAGTAGACCTACGTCAGGCTACGTGTCTACGAACTGTGTAGCCACATATTTTGAAACGATGTGCATGACGTGATGATGTGACATGACATGACCATGATGACTACAACTGACTTACAATGTAGACTGCATGCATATGCATGCTAGCTGCAAGCTCGATCACATGCACAGATCATGCACAACACATTTTTTACAACAAAATTTTGACAGAATCGTCATGTGAAACTGAAAAGATTGATCAAAGAAGTAGTTTGAAGCTCGAACGGATGCGTCTCTGGAAAGACCGATGCTGAACATGGCGTCCCTGGGAGAGAACACAAAAGTTGCTACGGAGGGTACACTAGACCCCACGGAGGATGAGGAAGATGATGAAGCCGAAGAAGATGGAGAAGAAGAAGAGGAGGAGGAAGAAGATACCGTGGAACCCAAACTGAAGTATGAGCGTCTTGGAAATGATGTGAAGGAAGTTTTGAAAAACGATGCTGCAAGTTGTCTGGCTGTTCAAGGTAAATTTTTGGCCCTGGGCACCCATTGGGGTGTTGTGCATATTCTGGATCTCCAGGGCAATCGCATAAAGCAATTTCCTTGCCACTCGACGACCGTGAACGAAATCAGCATCGACGGCGGCGGCGACTACGTGGCGAGTTGTTCTGACGATGGTCAAGTAGTTGTGAATGGCCTGTATGCCACTGATAGCAACGTCAAAGTAAATTATGATTATCCTGTACGTTCACTGGCGTTGGATCCGGAGTACGGACACCGGCAATCTGGTCAGTACGTGACTGGGGGTGAAAATCTCGTTTTTCACTCCAAGGGTATGTTTCGCAACAAGACCACTGTTCTGCATGGCGGTGAGGGCCCAGTACGTGCCATCCGCTGGCACAAGCAGTTCATAGCCTGGGCGAATGATGTCGGTGTGAAGATCTATGACTGCCAGTCGAAGCAGCGGATCACCTATATAAACAGAGATGAGGGCAGTCCTAGGGCGGAGCTCTATCGCTGCAATCTCTGTTGGCGTGGCGATCGCACATTGCTGATTGGCTGGGGAAACTCGGTGAAAGTATGCACAGTGAAGGAGCGGCCAAAGAAGGATGTCAGAGACTTGCCGTCGCTGTACGTTGAGATCACACACATGACTAGTGTGGATTTCTTCATCGCTGGCATTGCACCGGTGGAGAACAACCAGATTGTGCTCCTCTGCTATCTAACCAATGTAGAGATGGAGAAAGCCGAGTTCAAGCGCCCGCAGCTCCGAATCTTGACATGCCTGTCCGACTCGCACAAGATCGAGGAATCTTCTCTGGACGAGCTGAACATGCGTGGCTGGGAGCAGTACCGCTGTAACGACTATCGCCTGGAGCATCTCACCCAAGAGGGTCTGTTTTACCTTGTCAGTCCGCGCGACGTTGTTCTTGCCAAGCCGCGCGACATGGACGACCACGTACAGTGGCTGATTGACAACGAGAAGTTTGAGGAGGCACTGAGTGAGGCCGAGACCAACTGTCTGAAGCTGAAGAATCACAAAGTGCTGGACGTCGGCGTGCAGTACATCCAGTTCCTGATCGACGAGGAGGACTTTCAGAAGGCGGCCGGCCTTTGTCCGCGCGTCCTGCAAGGCGACAAGAAACTCTGGGAGGAGATCATCATGAAGTTCATTGAGGTGAAGCGGCTGGCCGATATCAGCCCGTTCATACCGCGCACCACTCTACGCTTGGAGCCCATCATCTACGAGCTGGTGCTGAACACGTTCCTGCTGGACGACAAAGACCAGTTCTGCTGTACGCTACAAGAGTGGCCGTCAGACCTGTACGACGTGCAGGTAATTCTGAAGGCGGTGGAGGGCTGCATGGAGAAAGACGGAGAGGACGGCCTTCTACTCGAGGCCATGGGTCAGCTACACACGTTCGAAGGACGCTTTGACAAGGCCCTGCGCATCTACCTGAAGCTGAAGAACGAGCACGTGTTTGAGCTAATCAAGCAGCACAACCTGTTCTCGGCCATTCAGGACCAGATTGTCGAGCTGATGCACTTCCAGCCGACCACTGCGTCCAAGATGCTGATTGAGAATATGGAGAAGGTGCCGGTGGCGGTGGTCGTGGACAAGCTGCGTACGGAGAGCAAGCTGCTACACCAGTACCTGCACACACTCTTCCTGCAGAACGTTCACGCCGGACAGGACTTCCATGAGCTGCAGCTGGACCTGTACGCCCAGTACGACCAGCCCAACTTCCTGCCGTTCCTGAAGCAGAGCAGCTCCTACCCTCTGCAGAAGGCCATGCAGGTGTGCGAGGACCGGGAGCTGATAGAGGAACAGGTCTACTTACTGGGACGGATGGGCAACCACAAGCAGGCCTTGTCGCTCATCATCGAGAAGATGCACGACGTCGACAAGGCCATTGAGTTCTCCAAGGAGCAGAACGACGAGGAGCTGTGGGAAGACCTGATCAAGTATTCCATTGACAAGCCTGACTTCATCACTGGCCTATTGCGCAACATAGGCACTCACATCGACCCTACCCGTGTCATCAAGCGTATACCGAAGGGCATGGAGATCCCGCAGCTACGCGACTCGCTGGTGAAGATCATGCATGACTTTAACCTTCAGATCTCCCTGCGAGAGGGCTGTGACAAGATCCTGGAGAAGGATTGTGTAGGGCTGCTGGACCGGTTGAATCGCCTGCAGCGGCGCGGCATATCCGTCTCCGATAGCCAGCGCTGTCTGATCTGCAACGACCGCATCATGCCGGGCGATATCCGCAGCGCGCGGCCGCTGTGCGCCTTCTTCTGCCACCATGTCTACCACATGGACTGCTTGGAGGCTGTCAGTAGTGCTCGTGATGACGGCGTCTTTGTCTGCCAGTGCTGTCATTCGCGCAAGTCACAGCGCGGCCCAAAGTTAAAAAGATGATGAACCGCCGCTACATCCTGCTGTCTGAACTGTACCTATCACACTCCGCTGTCATTTCTCTTGATAATGAATCATATATCAACAAAGTCTCCCCATCCGCTCATGAAAGTGCTTCTGCACATCTGTTTGTTCTGCACATATGAATGCTGGCAATGATTTGCCAGGGAATGACTTCATTTGCTGGCAACTTGTCTCAGCCCTGGTTAGTTTGTTTGCTCTTTTGTTATAGTTGGTATTTGTCACTATTCTTTGTTACTCTGCTGTGTCTGTGTTTGTAGCAGTTTCTATGTTGTACCCACTGCCTGCGCGTGTACCCATTATGGGCATTTGTCAAAAGTTTTATTTGTCACTTGTAGGTTTGAAGAGGCCACCACTTATTACTTGGTGTAAGCGCTACTTTCTTTGTGAATCACTTTGAGGCAATGCAGGACTCGAGTCTTTTATTTTTGGTTTTAATTCCTATAGTTCGCTTCTAACCACATGTATAATCAGCTGAGTTCTCTCTGACTTTCGTTTACGGATGCCGGATCATCCTTTTATCATTTCATGAATTCTCTCTCCGGTCGGGCCCTTCAGTATCTAGTATTGACATGTGTTTATACTTGTGATGTCAAAGTGTGTTGCAGTGTGCTGTCGATAGGTGTCATGTGGCATTGAATATACTACAATTCAACTTTCCATATTTCTATTCGGCTGCCGCGCCACTGCTGTAGGCATGACCAAGCTGGGTAATTTTCATCCCAACTCTGAATGATACAGCCAAGGAGTTATTGCAACAGCAGGGCACTGACTACCGAACTGGTGAACCCGAGTATCCCGTATTCATGAGTTTGAGGGATTACCTGCTGTATACAACCACCAGTGGCACAAGGACTCGAACCAGGGACCCTCGCTGCATTGTCCTGAAGTTTTACGCAACTCAAACACATCAGACCAGGGAGCCCTACACATGCGCGGTATGTGTAGAGCTCCCTGCATCAGACCAAGTCACCATTATCTGCTGGAACCTGCCAGCCAGAAAGTCAACGCATGGGTATACATGTGATGATGCAAAAACCAGTGATAAAAATTCATAAAACGGGTAGAACGCAGATCTAAAAAATGACCTAACTATATCAAATACTGGTTGCACCATCCAGTTACAGCCTGCAGGAGGCCAAAGTGTACGACATATTCTAGAGAAAGAGATGGGGATGAGGATGTGTTAGCTATTAGAACGTCTTCAAGAATCTGCTGTGTGGCCTGCAGAAAGTCAGAGGGGTTGCACAAGCACACAGGACCAAGGCAAACGCCATACACAGGCGTAATCGGCAAGACGGCGCCACCACATCAGGCAGTTGAGCCAGTCTTGCGTCACTCGTGCCGACCTGATGCCAAACAATCCCCAGCTGACGGCCCCCTGCACTTGGAACACATCGCTTCCCAATGAGGTGCTCAGTCTCATCCGAGAACGAAAGTCTAGGCAAAGGTGACCACAGGACACACACTAGAAGTAAAGAGAACAAAAGCAGCAGTCAGAAGGTAGCAGCACAAGAAGGGAAAATTCAGATAGGAAAATGTCTATTGAAAATTATCTATAAAAAACTCAGCTCTGTCTATGCTTACATCTATGCATCAATGATTTTAGGAGAGGCATCTATGGTAGCTGTCCTATCACCATCCACAACATCACCAATGATCCATGCTGGACACCCGTCAACAGACTGCATCTCTTCACAGAAAGCGCTGGCTTTATCCGGGGACAAGGCAACCAGCAGACCACCTGACGTCTCCGCCGAAAAGCCCTCCACCAGCTTGAAGTTCAGGCCGTTCTCGGCACACGCCTTGGCACACTCCGCCATCTTGGCAATGATCGGGAGAGAATGGATGCGGAAGGAGACGGGCGCTTTCTGAAACTCGGCCAAGTTCGTGGCATGGCCCTTGATACCAAAGCCGGTGACGTCCGTGGCGGCATGGGCACCGTATTTCTTTATCATGGCGGCACCTGTCCTGTTTAACCGTGCCATTGAGTTCATGGCCGCCGTGTAGGCGACCTCAGCATCGTCGCGCGAGATGATGCCATCGACCTTAGTCCAGTTCGCGGGCTCATCCAGCCACTGGTGTACGTTGACAGCAATCTGCGTGCCGATTGGCTTAGTCAACACTAGCACGTCACCGGCCGCAGCGCTATTCGGCATGATGAACTCACCATCGGCACACACACTCGATGCAACACCGCCAATGATGAACCACGGATTAAGCACAGTCTGTCCACCGTTGACGCTGCAGCCAGCCTCCTTGGCAAGATCACTGAACCCCTTGATCATGAGTGGAGTGACCACGTGCCGCTCCTTGTGCGACAAGTCTGTGCTTATACCCAGCAACATTAGCATGTTATCACACTCACTAACCCCCATCGCATACAGATCACTGAGGACATTGGCACAGGCGATCTTGCCCTGCATGTAGGGGTCCTCGACGAGCGGATAAAAGAAATCCGTTGTCTGCACGAGCGATATTCCTTTGTGCCGCGTGGGCAACACACAGCTATCCAAGCCGATCCCCAGGCCACCACCAGCCTCACGATCGAGTCCCTCAAGAAAAGTGAGCAGCTCTGCTTGAGGGACTTTGCAGCCTCATCCCTTCAATTTGGTGAAGCGAGTTAGGCGAAAGGATGGGTCCAATCCATGGTCCTCAGGACGGAAAGACATTATTCACAAGGTTGAGATCCTTCAACAGCAAAGAGAAAGCCCGGACTACCACATGAACATAACACCACAAAACAAACAAAATTACTTCACTCTTTTATTTTCAACAAACAAAAGACCTTTCAAATCAACACAACAACCCGACTGTTATAATGATTGTTATGTCATAACAGTCGGGTCATACTGTACTGCACTGATATGATATACTTGGGGGGTTCCCCTACAAACTGGCTTGCGCTTGATGCTTCCCAAAAAAATTTCAAAAACATTCACAAACAAAGTCAAGTGTGGCATTTCATTGATTTTGATTCAAAAATACCCACTGCATGCACTATGTCGTCTTCGAGAAGCATTGTCGACGAGCTGAGTTCTTTATTGCAGAAAGCCGTAACTATCATTTTGGAGAGACCAGAATGCATGGTAGACGACACCTTTCCTGATCGCTTTGCCGAATGTTTAGAATTACTCGTGGATAACTTCAACGCAGATAACAGCAGTCCACTGGAGCAACCTACAAATGACGAAGGTACACACGCCATTGCATAGGGTGTGTGTGGGGGGTCAGGGACTCCTCTGACTATTCATATTCCATAACTGAGCAAATCCACTGTGCACGTCTGCTTCACGACTTGTTCTGGCATTGGATATTCAACTCAATAGATGATTTCTCATGTCCCATACAGTGTTGAAATAGGCTCAAACTGAAATCCACGTACATGAACAATTGAACATATACAATAAAAAAATTGGTGTCTCCGAAGTCTCTACAACTTCTTCTTCAAAATGAAAAATTGAATCTAGATATGAAGAAGGAGCTGAGTACTTTTGTCGGCGCTAATGTTTTTTTCTGATTTATGTACATGTAGCTTCAGTCCTCGTCCAGGATTTCTCCCAAGCAGCCCTCTGTTCCTCATCCACAAAACTCCAGTGTCTGGGCCTGCGTGCAACATGCTTGTGTCCGCAAGTCTTGCTCCTGGAAACGGTTCAGGTTAGCTTCCGGTCAGCAGCAACGTCCGAGTGTGTTTCTGTACGTAATGCTGTATTCGTGGCCGCGAAGAGCCTGCTCGCAAGCTGGCCTACTCTACCTGGATCTAAGCCGTGTCCTCTCCGACAAGGTAAGTGGCTGTTACACGTGTACAGGGTAATTTAATGGTGATCAATACCTGCTAGCACATGATATTGTCTTGACCGGTTCATGTCTTGTCTAGTCTAGCCATTGTTTTGCAGTTCAGTACAATGTTGTAGCGTAACTACAGTTTAGTAACAGAATCTATTTTTTTCATAGTCCCACATAGTCCCACCACTCCTCACAGCTCGTTTCCGGGCACATTGTTTTGTTTTTTGTTTGTTTTGTACACCTCATTGTGTGAATGTGAGTCTTTAAAAGTGCGAGCGTGAGTGTGAGCATAAGTGTGACCGTTAGTGAGTGTGTGTGTGTGTGTGTGTGTGTGTGTGTGTGTGTGTGTGTGTGAGAGAGAGAGAGAGAGAGAGAGAGAGAGAGTGTGTGTGTGTGTGTGCGTGTGAGTGTGTGTGTGTGTGTGTGTTCCTGTGCCTCGAGAATGGTGTACTTGGATCACGTATGGTGTAGTTTCATTCCACCTTGTGTTGCATCATTGCATGGTACATGTATAAGTCCACCTCGGTAGTTTCTCCTCAATTCTGATGATGGCTCCTGACTGAAAATTTGGTGGACATATTAGAAATTTGCAGCAAAGAGACCACTTGCTTTGATGGTGGTGTAGGGTCTTCCATGTTGTTGTTGTCTAGTCTCGCTGTATTGATTTTGTAATCTTGTTTCCAGTCTTCCTGCATTGGTTTCTGATCAGTGTCCGCCCTGGTATACTATGTATTTGGGCTTGCATGGGCTATGTCAATGCTGGTTGACTGGGTATGCATGGGCTATGTCAATGCTGGTTGACTGGGTATGCATGGGCTATGTCAATGCTGGTTGACTGGGTATGCATGGGCTATGTCAATGCTGGTTGACTGGGTATGCATGGGCTATGTCAATGCTGGTTGACTGGGTATGCATGGGCTATGTCAATGCTGGTTGACTGGGTATGCATGGGCTATGTCAATGCTGGTTGACTGGGTATGCATGGGCTATGTCAATGCTGGTTGACTGGGTATGCATGGGCTATGTCAATGCTGGTTGACTGGGTATGCATGGGCTATGTCAATGCTGGTTGACTGGGTATGCATGGGCTATGTCAATGCTGGTTGACTGGGTTTGCATGGGCTATGTCAATGCTGGTTGACTGGGTATGCATGGGCTATGTCAATGCTGGTTGACTGGGTATGCATGGGCTATGTCAATGCTGGTTGACTGGGTATGCATGGGCTATGTCAATGCTCGTTGACTGGGTATGCATGGGCTATGTCAATGCTGGTTGACTGGGTATGCAGTAAGGGCTCTCAATATGATGGACAATTCCAAACAGTCTCTTGCTGTGCCTCGTGACGGAATAGCCTTGAAATGCGTTGCTTCTTTTCGACTTGCTGTCATTGTGTTGTTACACTTTGCTAACTTGTTCTGCTCCACAGCTTGGTTTGTAGCGCTAGCAGTCCACGCTCTTCACGATGGCAGTCTGTTTGTGGCTGCGGCCGCCCGACAGTTTCTCTGTGTTGCTCTGGAGGCAGAGTGCAGGCAGCAAGCGGGAAGTGATGTCCATGAAGTAGCCAGCCATCCTCCACCCACAGCCATTCCACAGGACAATGCTGTTCGCTCTACCTTGAGTGGTGAGGCCAAGGCTTGCGCTCAGTGTGCTGCTGCTCTTAAAACATCGCGTACAGAGACAAGCGCATTGATTGGGAAGCGGAAGTATGTCCAGCGTGACACCGACCGTCTAGCTGCCTTTCTTCGCCTTCTAATCGAGCTGGTGCAGGACCATGCCGACGTGCCCCTGGGTGTTGTACGCCAGCTTCTACGCACCTCCTCTGTGCTGGGCATGGTGTCAACGGCGGCTTCCGATGAGCCATTGAGAGTCGTGTCTGTTGTGAGGCGCTCGGCACAGTTGACTGCAGCTCTCTGCAACCGGCTCAGGTTAGTCTTGCTGTGAAAAGAACGGTAAATGTGGTCTGTAGTCTATTCTGACCAGGGAGTCGTAAAATACCGGTATTTTACGACTCCCTGATTCTGACCATAGAGGCTGTTTTAGAGCCACACAAGATGGTTAGAAAAGCGCACCTTTGAACCATGAGGCTCCAGGTTCGATTCCCAGGTTGAGCAACTGTTCTTCCACACCCAGGAGGTCGGCCTGGGATTGGATACCTGACTTCTGTCAAGGAAGCAAAGGCAATGATTGAGAGAATCTGAGCCCTGTCTTCACAATGTTGAGTTCATTGACACAGGAGGTCTGTAGCACCTCCTGCCCTGACAGTCTTTTCCTAAGTGTAAAACCGGGTGAATTTAGCGGGGAAATCTTTAGCTATTCCCAAACCTGACTGATTTTGTAAGCACAGATTTTAGTTACCAGTCTAAAGCCAAGAAAACAGGTATACATGTACATGTTGTGAATGCTGTCTGAGCAATACCAACTCTCTGTCTTCTCTGGGTACTGCTAACTCTCGTTTGGCCTGGCTGAAGTGCAGCAGTAAACAGTCCTCGCTTAGAAGTAGCGAATTCGGCAGCACCTTCCACTGAGCAAACCTGCAAGAAAACACCTGTGTTGGGCAGGGGGTGATGCTTTCTTGCCGCTTTGCCATGTGGAAGGTACAACTCACTCCTCGTGTGCTTCAGTCGGCTGTCACAAGTCAATCAAATGTTAAGTTCTTTCAGCAGCAAGCATCAGCTCCAAGATCACCTGCTTTCAGCCAGCATAGAGCACACTGTATGTCCTTTTTTGCAAATGTGCTGACAGAGATGTTCAGATCATTTTTTTTTAACTTCTGTCCCTTGTCCCATGTGTGTGTGTGTGTGTGTGTGTGTGTGTGTGTGTGTGTGTGTGTGTGTGTGTGTGTGTGTGTGTGTGTGTGTGTGTGTGTGTGTGTGTGTGTGTGTGTGTGTGTGTGTGTGTGTGTGTGTGTGTGTGTGTGTGTGTGTGTGTGTGTGTGTGTGTGTGTGTGTGTGTGTGTGTGTGTGTGTGTGTGTGTGTGTGTGTGTGTGTGTGTGTGTGTGTGTGTGTGTGTGTGTGTGTGTGTGTGTGTGTGTGTGTGTGTGTGTGTGTGTGTGTGTGTGTGTGTGTGTGTGTGTGTGTGTGTGTGTGTGTGTGTGTGTGTGTGTGTGTGTGTGTGTGTGTGTGTGTGTGTGTGTGTGTGTGTGTGTGTGTGTGTGTGTGTGTGTGTGTGTGTGTGTGTGTGTGTGTGTGTGTGTGTGTGTGTGTGTGTGTGTGTGTGTGTGTGTGTGTGTGTGTGTGTGTGTGTGTGTGTGTGTGTGTGTGTGTGTGTGTGTGTGTGTGTGTGTGTGTGTGTGTGTGTGTGTGTGTGTGTGTGTGTGTGTGTGTGTGTGTGTGTGTGTGTGTGTGTGTGTGTGTGTGTGTGTGTGTGTGCATGCGTACGTGTGCGTGCGTGTGTGTGTGTGTGTGTGTGTGTGTGTGTGTGTGTGTGTGTGTGTGCACGCATGCACATACATACATGCTTCTTAAATTCTCTTGTCCTGTCTGACAGTGGAGCAGCCGATTTGCAGTCCTACATGCGCAGCTGTGGCTGGTCCTTTCCAGCAGGCCAGGGTGAACCGAGAGAGGATGACTGCCAGTTGTTGCTGTCTATACCGCTACTGTTATTGCGGCATGGTTTGCTGGACTCGGCACTCAACTTGCTGATCGCATACAGCTGCAAGCTGCACAAGTGAGTGAGCATGCTTTGGTTCTAGCAGATGTGCATGTCATACCTGCCAACCGGTGCAAACCTGAGATCGGGACAATGACATACCTAGGTGTGAAAATGTATACAAATGTAGCCTTCACGGCTACATTTGTATACATTTTCATATGCGACAAATGCACTTCTGGGTGCCTGGGACCACCATCGATATCGGGACTGTCGCGGCCAAATCGGAATGGTTGGCACTTGGCAGGTATGGCATGTGCATATGCCTACCTACCTAATACACTGCACCTGAACAAGTCGCGAGTGGTGGACAAGGGGAAACACAATGTGAAGCTACGCTGTGGTAGGTTGAGACATGCTGAATTCTTGCTGATTGCTTGGTCAAAGTACTAGTAAATAGTACAGTTGTGCTCGGTAAAATTTGACCCAGAGTGCATTTTTGGCGCCCTTGACGCCCTGGAAGTGGCACGAATGCGGCTGGATGTACACATGTACAAATGCAATGATGTAATTGGAACTGGTCCAGGGCACCAGCTTTGCACTTTGGGTCGGATATTAGAGAGGTTGTGCATAACGAAAAGTCGTAAAGATCTTTCGGAATCTGAGCCATCTGGAAGCGACGAAAATTCGTAAAGAAAATCTGTTGTGCTCAACGAAAAACGTAGTGTGACCATGGTGACCCTTTCGAGTACTTTTTCCGCTGTTTGCGCGCTTGGTGAACAATTTTTTTGAATCAAGTGTGTACTCCGGCCCATGGCCCACGTGTAGGCACACCACCGAACTGAGTTGGGCTCAAGTTTTCCAGCTCACAGGCAACGATCTCCATGGCTGGAGACCCTCGTCGAAACGGTTGGTCGTGAGAACGAAGCTGCCTGAGAAGGGCCAGGTCCATCGCGAGATCAAATGTCCTTCGCTGAGACGTCGCAGGGGAAGACGAAGACGCCGAGGTGGCAGAATTCTGCTGCGGGGATTCAGCAGAATAATTTGTCACAGGGCGTAGCGAGCACTGACAGGACTTCCAGATCTGACAGAACTAGCCGAGCGCTGTCCAGGTGACAGAGGATCGCTGAGAGAGCGGGAAAGAGATCCATCAGCTCCACAGGATGCCGAGTAGGAAGAACTCGCAGAACGACTTGAAAAGGCCATGGCGAAAAAAATCTTGACACCACGTGCATCAACACAGCTACATGTACATGTACATGTATGCAGAAGCTTGCGAGAAAGAAGCGAAAGTTCAAAACGTAAGATCTTCAAGTTTCGCGATCAGCCTCGCGAAAGTTCCTTTCCTTTTTCGTTACTCGTGCCCAGACTACGTCTAAGTTACGAATTTTCGTTATGCACAACCTCTCTATTACCGAGCGCAACTGTACTTGAAGTAGCTGTGGAGAGGATTGGGGTAGATGATGCCAATAATTTCCGAATGCACTTCTGAAATATGTGCGCTGTGTGTGTGTGTGTGTGTGTGTGTGTGTGTGTGTGTGTGTGTGTATATGTGTTTTACGCGTGTGCATGTATGTTATTATTTGTGCAGAGGTGATCCTGACCTGGCCACTATATGTGCATGGTACCTGTCCGCTCCCATTCACCTTGCTGCTGGGGTTAGACCAAAAACCCTTCTTGAGCTGATTTCATCGGTAAGTTTTAGTCCATGTAGTTTCGTTATTGGGATATTGTACTTCAAAAGTAAAAGCAATTGCTGTGTAGGAAACCAGGTACCAGAATTCCTAACTGATTGTTCGTGTTGTAGCTGGTGTTAACACTTGTCTGCTTTTAGTCAGTGTGTGCGTGCGTGTGTGTGTGTGTGTGTGTGTGTGTGTGTGTGTGTGTGTGTGTGTATGTGTGTGTGTGTGAGAGAGTATGCGTATGTGTACTGTCACTCTGGTGTACATAATATTCTACTGTCTGGCTGTGTGTGTACGTGTGTTTGTTTGTACGTGTGTGCATGTGCGTGTTTGTACGTGTGTACGTGTGTGTGTGTGTGCCTGCGCGCGTGTGCTGGTATCTGTACACATTGTGCGACCCGATATTCATATCCAGGTCCTTGAGGAAGTGAGTCTCCTACAACTGTGTACAATCATATACTTGTGATCACACAGTCTCTGTGTTGTCTGTGTGTTGTCTGTGCATTGTCTGTGCGTGTCTGTGTGTTGTCCGTGTGTTGTCCGTGTGTGCCTGTGTGTTGTGTTTAGGGCAAGGCACATAGTGCGATGACAGCTGACTTTGGTCAGTGGCTTTCGGCTGTGCTTGAAGTGATGAATACAAAATCACCTTTCACAAGTCTACTGTCCTTTGCACTACCTGCTTTAGAAGAGGTGATGAAGCTGAAGGTGAGAGACACTGTGTGTACGGTGATGTAATACAGTGAGACCTGCCTACGGGACCTAACCCTACAAATGCGGTCCCCATGTACAGGTGGTCTCCTTGTCCAGAGTCATTGGAAATAACAACCCTTGGTCCCTGTTGCAGTGGTCCTCAGGGACAGGTGGTCACCTTTTCAGAGTCACTGAGTGGTCTCCTTGACAGGGTTCACTGCACAGTCAGACCTCGCTTATCCGGTCCTCTTTTATCCGGATCCCTCGCCATCCGGAAGAAAATTGTTGGTTACCGATTTACAGCATATGTCATGCATACATACGGCATGTGTGTTCGATTATCCGGTTCCCTCGCCTATCCGGATATTTTTTGTGGAAAACGGATTTGTGTGGCTCAGCGAGGTCTGACTGTATCTATAATTGTGGACAGCAGTCACAGTCCACAACATAACAGGCTGTGACTCCTGGCAATGGGGATACGGATACATGCGTGGAGACTACGGCTGTGCCTATTCATTGTATGCGTGTTCAATGTGCACTTGTCTGACAGGTTTGTCGACGAAAAAGGAAAATGATCATGATGAAGACTCGCGCACACGCACACGCACACACACACACACACACACACACACACACACACACACACACAGACACACACCACATACACACACACACACACCATTTGACGCCCATCGCCGGAGGCGATGATAGCAATTCTACAGCAGAAGCCATAGCAACTTGGGCTGACACACACACACACACACAGACACACACACGCACACGCACACACACACACACACACACACACACACACACACACACACACACACACACACACACACACACACTAGGCCCTGGCGGATAATGCTCGGAAAAGTAGCGTTTTCTGCTCGACATTCTGCTCGTATTCTGCCGGTATTCTGCCCCATCCTGCTCGTATTCTGCCGGATTCTGCCCGAGAACACAAGGACTATTTACTGTGAGATTTCTGTTTATTTCACAAGCCTGGACAAGCGAAGACATTAGAATAAGGCACTGGAATGATTTCCTTATGTCGGTACTTGAAGTATGTAAGTAATGTCAACACTACTGGAACTCTATATCAATGAAGATGGTACTGGCAGACTAATAGAGAGAGAGTGCAGCACCAGCCCCGCATGCAAGGAGCCGAGAAAAGGATGAAGACAACAGTGATTCTGCGTATGTTGTGTACTGAAGAATCCAAACCAGTGTAACAGAATGTACAATGCTGCCAACAAAGTAACCCAAGAAGAAAATCTGCTGAGTTCGATTTACTATGCAATACTGGAGCAGCTGTGGCAATCTCTGCAGGGGTAGCACACAGAGCAAGCCGTAACTGAGCACGGCAAGAGCGCACACGTGTGTGTGTGTGTGTGTGTGTGTGTGTGTGTGTGTGTGTGTGTGTGTGCGTTTGTTTGTTTGATGATCTGCATTCCCACCATTCTCTTACAGTCGTTGTAGTGGTCCCTCTGGTGAACCACAGGAGACAGCAGTGCAGACACATGGGATCATTTCGAACACCTCACTTGTACTAGTCACACAGAGTTATAGCGGGGCTTTTCGACCGCGGTTCTACTGAACCATAATGGCGGCTTCAAGTCGAAGATGGCCGGTCAATGTGCTGCGTTGCCTTGTGGACGTTGCACCCTCCAGCGGTGAAAACACCCGCTCAACTGCTGCTGAAGATGGCACAAGTGCAAGGACGATCTTTGCTGCTTTTTGCCAAAGTGGCAGCTTGGTCTGCACCTTCCACCATTCCAGTAGGTCATCTCCTTCCTGTGCATCTTCTGCCGCCACCAGGTAAGCGGGCAACTCTTGCTTGAGGCCGGCCACCAGCACATCATCGTCCAACGCAGGTACTGTTCTGAGCTCGTCAACCTTTGGCCCGTCAAGATGAAGGCGAACTGCTCGGACAGGGCAGAGAAACCTTGCTGCTTTGAATACCTTGACAAGTTGGCACAGGGGGGCTATCCTGATGATTGAACTTGCGCTGGAAGTACAGCCTTGCAGAGTCTGTGCACCTCACAGCAGCGGCAAATGCTGCATCATTGGCTCCGAGCCGATCAGCTGTCTCTCTTGTCAATGGATAGTGATTCACGTGTACTACTGTGAGAGCCTCTTGCATGTGGTAGGTTGATGGGCTCAGAACGCCATCACCTTCCAAGAGATATGTGTTCTGGCCCAACGGTTTCCCGACATCAATGGTGATTGCCAGCTCTAGCTCTAGAGTTTGGCGGGTGGCCGGATCATCCAGCATCTCCAGGATGTTTCTCCTGGTGGTTAGGGAGGAATCAAGGTCAGCTACGAAATCTCGTATGATCAGGAAATGCTGCCGAACCTCCTCCAGCATCTCCCACAAGCTCCACCAACGGGTCTTGCTCTCGGTCTTGATGCTCACACCGGTAGTGTCCTTCCAGGAAACTCTTGTGGCTGAGCTGAAGGCAAACAGAGTGACCCACAATTGGGCAAATTGGTCGAGAGTAGGTGTAGCGAAATGACGGCCGACATTGTTGAGGGTGTGCGAGAAACAGGTGATGTCAAGGGCCTGTGGAAACATCAAATCCTTGGCAAAAACGCAATGCTGCACCATTCACTGCAGCACCATCACGAATAAATGACACAAGACGATCCGGTTGTATCCGAAGCTTTGTGCACAAGCAGCTAATAAGCTCTCGTGCCAGCTGCTCTCCAGATAGGCTTTTGGATAGCACAGAGAATGAGATGAGACGTTGCTGAATAGCCCAGTTGCTGTCGATATAGCGAACAACTACTGTCACGGCCTCGCCCAAGTACGTTGTCCCATCAAAAACCACAGAGAGGTGATCTGCTTCCTTCAGGTCAAAGGAAACTTGCTTCTTCTCTTCTTCCAGTACAAACGGCAGCAATGACCTCAAATGCGAGCTGTCAGTCAGGTTTGTCGTTACGCTTTTCAACAATGGCCGGATGTAATCGAGCTTGGCGAGAGGAATCCCAGCCCTCAGAAAACCTACAAGCACTTCAATCCGGTGCAGAGTTTCCTCACCAGAGACGGCTTCGGTCAGACCAGTTCCAGCAAGGAGGTCATGCCGCTTCTGGTACGCCCTCCAGCTCTCCATGAGGAGTTCTTGCTTCTCTGACTGATTCTTCATCTCAATCATGTCGCTAACATGGCGAGAACTTTTGATGTGGTCAGCGATGATTGATTTCTTTACAGCAACTTCCAGGTGACATGCTTTGCACACCAACTTCTTGCCGTCAGCAACCAAGCTCTCTCCAGGAAACTCGCGAACTCTTTGCTCAGGTGCAATGCGGACTACTGAGCTTGATCCCTTAGCCACCCTGCTCCGTTTTCGCTCAACATCACTTCTCTGGTTACTCTGTCTTTTCAATGACCTCTCACGGGAAATGCTCGCCGGTTTTGCCTTGCCTAGTGCAGCGGTACTCCGGTCACCTTCGGAAAGAACGTCGGCTTCGGTTCCTGAGTCAACGTCGGCTTCGGTTCCTGAGTCAACGTCGGCTTCAGTTCCTGAATCAGACTCTGCAACACTAGTAAGTACATCAATTATTTCCATGTCACTCCAGTCCCCACTTCGATCGCGGCAACCTTCTTCCATTTTCACAGACAATCTCTTCGAGCAACGAAATGCCAGACGAAGACTGCAAAATGGTCACTGAATGCGATGTGCCAAACCTACAACAAAATTTGTACAGCTTGTTTTCCACACCACTACGAGCTACACAGTAATGATGATCATGATGAAACATCCAAGTGCCAAGCTACAGGGTGAGACAAACTCATACTTGGATGCACAGAAACCTGAACTGTCCGCGCGGCACGGAAGCAAGGTCAAAGGGTTCGCACCAGGGAGTAGTTAAATACCAGTATTTTACTACTCCCTGGTTCGCACTTGTAGCAAAGCGCGCGTGCAGAGGGCAACATAGCGCATGCAGTTTGATAATATCCGTGTGCGCACAGCATGCCAGCGTATGGACTCACTCTTTTTCAGCAAGACTTTCTGAAGACTAGTGAAGTAAGATCCCTTTCGCGAAGTGGACGAAGCGAAATTATCAAATGCGGCCATAATGTATCAAAAAGGGACCATGTACCAGTGAGTTCACGTGCTTGTGAACACAATGGAGCCGTAAATAGGCGCCAGCAGCCCTCTCCGCACGTCGTAGCTGGTTCTGCAGAGTATCTGCTCCTTTTTCTGCACTTTTCTGCCGAATTCTGCTCATTCTGCTCCTTTTCTAAAATAACCCATATTCTGCTCGAAATTCTGCCGACATTGGCCGCCAGGGCCTAACACACACACACACACACACACGCACGCACACACACACACACACACACACGCACACACACACACACACACACGCGCACACACACACACACACACACGACGTTCACTTGTACACGACTACAAGACAAGACCTGTACACGCTGGAGCTATGTCTTGTCAGCACAGCCGACTAGCAAACACCAGCAACATCCCCTCTGTTCTGTTCACTTTGGGAGTGTACAGTGCAAGCTCGTTAAAAGCACTAATGCAACACACTTTCGCTTTGGAGACCTAGCATCCGTGACTCGATTGGGTACATCACTGTCTATTCACCATGTTCACTGCATATAAAATAAACAAGAACTTTCATTATTGCAAGCAAATGCCATCGATCCCTTGGGGTTCGTCCTAAAGAGGTTTGGCTGTACATCTTGTTTGTTTAATGTGTTTCAGCTCCCGGAAATACTAGCATCATCTCTACTCTCGTCGGCAGTGCATCTCCTAACCGAGAGTTGCTATTGCCAGATGCATGTTGTGGGAGAAGCAATACGGCGTGTATCTGTGCACGCCTATGACAATGAGAAGCTGGTGCGTATGCTGATTGGTTATGTCTCCGGCGCCGCCGCCGGCTCTGAGCTCCTCTCCATTGGCCTGTGCGTCTCTGTGTGTTCAGGTGAGATGAAGTCAACACTCAAAGTCACATGTTGTACACATACTTGTATATTCTCTATTGCAAGCGCTGCAGATAAGACTGCAGATAAGACTGCAGATAAGACTGCAGATAAGACTGCAGATAAGACTGCAGATAAGACTCGGATAGAGAGCCAAGGATTAAAATTGAAAGAAAGGACCAAAATCATTTTTTAAATGTTACGTGTTATCCGTAGTTTGTGTCCAACACTAAAAGTTATTTGCAGGATTTTGTTTAGTCAGAAGGTGAAACAGCTAGCGCACTACTGATAGCTGAATGTCCCGAATGTCATATGATGCTCCTTCTTTTTCGAACGAAGACAGGAAAGTACAGTAGACTTTGTGCTGAAGACGTTCGCCACTATGTGAACTGATGCAGCTATGTAATCTTGTCGTGGTTCATGGATTTGTGTTATTAGTTTGCTTTCATGTATGTGCCTTGACATCTTCGAATTGCGTAGTAACAGACTTGTTGATGGGAGCCCGATGGCCGCACAGTGACATCCTGGATCCGTGTTCCTTTTTTGAAGAAATGACGCTGGAAAGCAGCACTCCTGCCCAAGCTTGTATCCTGCCTGTACATGTAGATATTTCATGGAAGTTCTGTTTCAGATTTTATTCTATGTGGGTACTTCTGACCGCATGTCTCGTGTTATGGCCGTGTGCTGCTGTTGTGTGCTGTTGCCAATCCTGTCAGATTCCCATAGATATTGCAGTCCTCTGTCAGCAATGATGGACGCACTGAATATGCAGCAACACGGCACGGCAGTAACCATCCGACTGCTTTCCGTCATCAGGGATGTGCTTGCTGCGGTCCCTGCAAACATGTTAGCCAGCTTACTGGCCACGGACGATGCAGAGCTGTGCGGCAAACGTCAGTGCCATTCAGCTTTGCCTTTTTCACGACTGTTCACTAGTGAACAATGTGATGGGACAGCTGATGGACATACCAGTTCTGTCTCATCAATCACATCATCAACCCCACCAGCCAAGACATCGTCAACGACCTCGTCGGTGACATTATGCACTGCTGCATCGATTGACTATGCGCCCCCTACCTGCCTGGATAGCGACTGGCGTTCTCTGTCCGAGTATGACTGCAGCACTGCGCCACCACTGGTGGCAGATAGCAACCGACAGCAGTGTGCCCCTGTGCACTCTAGTAGTTCTGTGAGTTCTGCTGGCACTGATGCTGCATGTTCTAATACCTATCCACTGTCCAGAAGCTGTTCAAGTCCCGATACCGTGATTCGGACCAACGCCAGCACTGCTATTGGCGGATGCAGGTCCGATGACATCATCATGACTCGTGATGATGTCATCAGAACTAGCAGTTGTAGCTCTGCAGCAGTATGTTCATCTGCTGATGCCAGCAGTAGTACTGGTACCTCGGTCGGTAGATATTGTGCCCCTGTCGGTAGCACGGCGGAACCAGCAGTCAGTGTATGTGGTGTTGCGGAGGACGGTGGCGGTGGTGGTGGAGGTACCGTGCAGAGCGTCGGTGGCTTCTTGTCGTCTTACCTGCGCAATGTCACCGTGTACAGTAGCTGGGAGGTCAGGGACACACTGATCAACATGGTCACGGTCCTGCTTCGCACACACGGCGGTGAGTCACCAAACATACATTCACATTGTTTCTTGAAACATCCCAATGTTTACAACAAAAAACATAAACAGCGACATGCACAATGTCCTTGTAATGTGATCCGTAGTCTTTCATCATTGTACATGCACACCAGGTCTAGTGTAGCATGTGAAATCTACACTACGAAATAGTGGTAGCGACTTCGGCGATAATTTTATACGTTTTTTTTATAGTTTAGACTTAAAACGTGTCTGTTGTGCCAGGTGACCGAGTAGCTGTTATTGTTGACGCGGTTAAGGCTAAGAATGACTCCAATGCATTGTGAAGTGTTGATGATGGGTGATAACGTTAGGATACAGTGCTACAACAACAAACGTTGCACTGTGTTGGCCTGTGTCTATTCTTGTAGTATGTGCAGTTCTATAGTTCTCGCCGTTGTGTGAGATTGTCTCCGTTGGAGTTCACAGTTACACACGTGTGGTGTGTGCAGTCAGCACTACTCTTGACTAGGTAGTGCTACTCTTGTTTTCTGCCATCACGTGTGACTTTTAAAGACAGTAGTAGCTCTTGCGTTCAGTAGCTTTCTGATTTAGTTGTGTGCACCTTTGGAAACAAAGAGATCAAACATTCTGCTACTGAGTGCTAGGAAAAAGAAGTTCAATGCAAACCAGCAGAGGCTTGGCATGTGTTTTAATAGACTCCATACCCAACGTAGACAGTGACATCTGCTGGCCTTCTGGATACCAGAAATGTACAGCGTATGATTGTGCTGCCGCTGCTACATGTACTCTCTCTCTCTCTCTCTCTCTCTCTCTCTCTCTCTCTCTCTCTCTCTCTCTCTCTCTCTCTCTCTCTCTCTCTGTCTCTCTCTCTCTCTCTCTCTCTCTGTCTCTCTCTCTCTCTCTGTCTCTCTCTCTGTCTCTCTCTGTCTCTCTCTCTCTCTCTCTCTCTCTCTCTGTCTCTCTCTCTGTCTCTCTCTGTCTCTCTCTGTCTCTCTCTCTCTCTGTCTCTCTCTCTCTCTCTCTCTCCGAGTCTCTCTCTCTCTCTGTCTCTCTCTCTGTCTCTGTCTCTGTCTCTGTCTCTGTCTCTGTCTCTGTCTCTCTCTCTCTCTCTCTCTCTCTCTCTCTCTCTCTCTCTCTCTCTCTCTCTCTCTCTCTCTCTCTCTCTCTCTGTCTCTCTCTCTCTCTGTCTCTCTCTCTGTCTCTCTCTCTGTCTCTCTATCTGTCTCTCTCTCTCTGTCTCTCTCTGTCTCTGTCTCTGTCTCTCTCTCTCTCTGTCTCTCTCTCTCTCTCTCTCTCTCTCTCTCTCTCTCTCTCTCTCTCTCTCTCTCTCTCTCTCTCTCTCTATCTATCTATCTCTCTATCTCTCTCTCTATCTCTCTCTCTCTCTCTCTCTCTCTCTCTCTCTCTCTCTCTCTCTCTCTCTCTCTCTCTCTCTCTCTCTCTCTCTGTCTCTCTCTCTCTCTCTCCGAGTCTCTCTCTCTCTCTCTCTCTCTCTCTGTCTCTCTCTCTGTCTCTGTCTCTGTCTCTGTCTCTCTCTCTCTCTCTCTCTCTCTCTCTCTCTCTCTCTCTCTCTCTCTCTCTCTCTCTCTCTCTCTCTCTCTCTCTCCATGTCTTTGCTTTGTCATTGTGGGTCTGTGTTTTGTCACAGGTCAAGCTGATCTACTGAAGTTTCTTGATCACTCTCAGTTCTTCCACTTCCTCCAGCTAGCAGGCGGTGACAGCAGTGCGTTTGTCAGTAGCTCAGCCCTGCTGACATTGCCCGTCATTACTGGCAGTAGCAGTGTGCTGGATGCGTATCTCTCTGCTAATTACAAACACACTGGCAAGGTATGTGTGAATCAGGCTGTACGTGTCAACCCAGTATGGTTACTAGTACATGCAGTATAATTTGTGTTGAAGGCTGGTGTATTCGCTCACAGTCCAATCTGTGTTATTCCATATCGCAATTCATAAACAGAGTGCAGTGATCGGGCCAGATGGGACGTAAAACTGTCACCCTACTCGGTTGCATTAGACCTGTACTCTGCCACTGCTAATGCAGCCGAGGTATCACGCACTGGCAGGGTAGAACGTTGTGCAGTACCGGGATACCTCTTGTTACAGAGTGCCAACCTTCTAACACATGGTTAGCATGTGTACAATATTGTAAAGCGGTCCACTGCAAGCATTTTGAACAAGAGACTGCGCAGTACGCACACATCAGTATAATTTTTTACAGAGCTGGCAGACTGTTGACTGATTGTTGCCAAGCCAACCCTTGGACCAATGATTTGTGGGTTCGTGCCTACTCGCGCGCGCGCGCGCGCGTGTGTGTGTGTGTGTGTGCAATGTGTGTGTGCAATGTGTGTGTGCAATGTGTGTGCAATGTGTGCAATGTGTGCATGCATGTGTCATGTGCACGTGTGTGTGTGTGTGTGTGTGTGTGTGTGTGTGTGTGTGTGTGTGTGTGTGTGTGTGTGTGTGTGTGTGTGTGCACGTACGTGCCTACTTGTGGTATGTGTGTACTGCCTTTCTAGATTGGGCTGGTAAAGGATGTGCTGTCCATTCTCAGCGGCAAGAAGAACGAATTCCACCGTCGCAGCGCCGCCCAGGTCCTGTGTGATTGGCTACGCCAGGACGGGATGACAATGTATGTTGTTCCCTTTGCATATGCACAGTGTGACGATGCTGGCGATGACTGCAGTGCAGCAGCACAGTCGAGTACACGCACGGATACATCATCTCAAGCCGGATTGTATCACGAAGGATGTACGCTCTGTCGTGAATGGCAACAGCACCAGTCCAGTCATGCAGCAGGGATGGCGGCAGTGGTGGAATCAATGGAAAGCAGTGACGGTGCTAGTCTTGCCACGTCCGCTCGTATCCGATTGCCCAGCGTGTTGTGTACGAATCACTGCACGCTGGTGGACGCAATGCTCGACTTTGATTGGGAGGTGAAGCTGCGCGCCGTTCAGTTCTGGTCATGCGTATTGCTTCAGATCTTGCCGGAGTGTCATAGCAACACTCACAACACCAATGGTGTATCTCCTTCATCACAAGCATCAAGTAAGCCAGGTGCTGTGCGTCTCGGCGAAAGTACCAGGATGCTGTTACAGCCGTGTCGTGATCAGCTGCTGGACTGGCTGTGCCTGGTTGGCGTGTGCCAGCGTCTAGCTGCAATGACAGATGATTGCGATGACGCAGTGCGTGATGCAGCCACATCAGTCATAACTCAACTTGCACACCTACCCCAGACTAATAGTGCTGCCACCCATGACAACACTGACACTGCTGTACATGACGGGAAATGTCACAACGACGCAGTGGATGTTCCAGATGCTTTCTCATCGGGTGATCAGTTCCTCCACTGGTGTCAACGGTGGAGCAGTTACAGAATACGTACACAGCACACGGAGTGGCCTGTCCAGGCACCTGCCGCAGGCTTTGAACCGTTCTCTTTCTTGTCTGATATACTGCATCATTCGCGGAAGGCGGCAGCGGCTGGATCTAAAGGATCCAACGAAGACGGTGAGAATGCTGCTGAAGAGGTTATTGTGGATTGCTATTAGGGAGCTCCTTCTCACTGCCATCCAGAACTGTGCGTGTTGTGTGTACGTACACTTTATATTGAGTTTATGTAGAAAAACTTCACAGCCATTGTGCCACATTTGAGTCATTTACCATTTTAGCGTTCACAAATTACGAACAACCCTATGCACCGCCGCACTTGTAACAACACAAATCTGACCAGGTTCGTTGAGTTCTGAATTTTTTTCTATGCAAAATATAAAAATTCTTCTGTGCAAATAAAGCAATCACTTTATCAATTATTGGGTGGCATGGTGGTATTTGGGTTCTCCAGTGCAGTTTTTTGGAAATTGGTGAAATGTAGGTAGAAATTGAAAAATACATACCAATGAATAAAAAATACATACATCGTAAATAATTTATTGGCCGTAACAAAATCGCAATTTTGCAAACAGTCCTTCTATAACATCATGTACTATGATTTCTCACAAAGGCGGCGTTCATACGCCTCTCTCCTCTTCAGGGTTGAGAGTGCCGTCTAGTGCTTTTGGCTGTCAAGTGCATTTGGCTGTCGACGCGCTATTTCCCGTGCAGGTGACCGTGGCAGTGCCGCTGGCGGGAATCACGACGGTGGTCGGGCCAAACTCTCCATTGGGGAAGATAGCATAGAGCTGTACTTGCTCGCTGGCAGCACCAGTGACAGTGGCCTGTACAAGGACCAACAAAATAAGCGCATTTTTTTGTTGTATTCGGCCTGCAAGCCGCGCAGGAGTCCATTGCGGGACAAGACAAGGACAGGTTTATTTACGTCGAGCATGCACATCATAATACAGACATGAGAGTTTATCGCCAAATATCAGTAGGATGAAAAATATAAAAATGCATCATCCTGACCCGTGCACGACGGAATTACTCTGTCAAAAGAAGTTTGTCTTTAGGTTGCATTTGTTGTCCAACGGATACTGTCAGCAGACTTGATGATAACACAATGTGCACACACATGCGCACACATACACATGCACGCACGCACACACACACACACACACACACACACACACACACACACACACACACACACACACACTTGAGCTTACCGTGAGTGGTCCGCCTGCAGGTGCAGACACTGCAGAAAGTCTCTGCCTGGACATCGGGACGAGCTTTCCTGCTTCTCCAACCGGTGTCCAGCCATTGGGCCAGGTTTGAGCCAGGACAAAGTACTGGAATGTAACTGCACCGCTACGCAGCTGTACCCCCAGTGAGAACACACAGTAACAGGGCGCAAGAACATGCTGTCAGATCATGCATGTTCTGTATGGGTGACGATCACACAGAAATTCCTGAGGATGACATCATTCACTGGTTCGAGGGGAAGACACAAACGGGAGAAATCTGAAAAAAAAGATTGACTGTCGCCACCAGGATTCGAAACATCATTGTCTTAATTAAATTAGACTGTTTTGCGGCATGGGGTATCTAATCTCACTCAAGCGTGGACGGCTGCACTAACCTTTTTGTTGCTTGGTGGCTTGATGACTAGAGGCGAAGTGGAGTTGACGTGCTGCATGCCTTCAAGCTCACATACTTCCTGACCCAGCGGGCAGCTTGCAAAGTAGTCAAAGGCAATGAATGCTGCACCCGGCGACTCGCCAAGGTCTTCCAGCGTCACCTGGATTTCCTCCTCCAAACTGGAGAGAATGAAAAAGAGCAGAACAATACAGTCAGACCTCGCTTAACCGCACACATCTGTTTTCTACAAAAAATATCCGGATAGGCGAGGGAACCAGATAATCGAACACACATACTGTATGTATGCATGGCATGTTCTGTAAATCGGCAACCAACAATTTTCTTCCGTATGGCGAGGGATCCGGATAAATGAGGACCGGATAAGCGAAGTCTGACTGTAACTACATGTAGTCTGATGCTCATGTCACAATCAGGATGCAGTGGTGGTTCGGCACAAGAAAGGCCACTGTAATCCGTGATTCAGCCGGGGAAACAAGGCTACGGGGTTTGGGTTATGTCATTATACATTACTTCACTAGTGTACCATGATGCTGCTGATGCTGCACTTGCTCTGTAAGAACTTCTACTTCAGTACATGCAAGATTGATACCGGCACTGGTGGTAGAGAAGTTCTTTTGTTGCTGCTGTACTGTATTAGCAGAACTATTCGACTGGAATTTAATTTCGTCTAAGGAGTTTTCGGACTAAGTACCGGTAAATGCCCGAAGAATAGCAATGAATTATTCGTCCAGGCTTTGAATACGTTTGACCTGCGTTTCATCGTCCATGGTCTTAAGTTTTCTACCAGGTGAACTTTCTTTCTTTGGGGTGCGACAGAATTATTCACCGACTAGATTATCTGCTTGTATAGTACATTTTACATACAGATGATACCTACCTAATGACGAGGACGTAGTGAGTAGCGGCACCGCTGATGTTGCTCTGTGTGTGCCAGAGCTCAATGCGCTTCTGACCATCAAAGCCCAGCTTGAACGCAGCATCATGGAAGAGAGCCGGGCGATCTACATAACACACATACCAATGACGGAAGACAGCAGGATACACCACCAGCAGCGGCAGCAGCAGCAGCATAGGAAATCTTTCAGGATAGGTAACTAATAGGAGATTGTCTAGTCACGAGTGGAAAGCATTGCACCACTGAGCAGAGAATGAATCGGACGCCAGGCAACCATTATAACCATACACACTCACAACACTCTTCTCAATATGCGCAAACTCCACTGTTGCCAATCAGGCAACCATGATCGAATAAATCACTTACCGGGTTTGAGAAGCAAGCCGTCTTTCCTGCAGGTCCTCATGATAAGCTCCTTGTTCAGATAATCTGAATGGAATAGTTCGCACAAGACAAGACAGTCAACTCCACAATGCCTACTGCATTTGCTCCTTAGCATCATTAGTGATAAAAGGGAGTAAAATCACTTGTAAAAATAGGAGACGAAAAATGCAGTGAGCCTGAAGAACAGGAATGACCTGAGGCTGCTCACAAGCAACATTCCGATAGTTTTGACGACTACTTTCACTGCCTTCTATTCAGGTGAATGATAGAATCAGTACAGTAAAATCAGAAGGATATACCGGCATTGGCTGAACTTTTTTCCATCTCCCCAGACTCACGGTTCAAAGTATGCAAGTGTGAATATCAGCAGTGCTACTGTGTAATCAAACTGCAGTGCATTATGAGGTTGAGATTTACAATCAAGTGCACCAAGGCACAGTTTCCTTGTCTTACCAACTCCATCTGATGGTCCAACGGGTCCGCCAGTGAGAGAAGCTACCAGTGTCACCAGCTCAAAGTTAGGCTCAACGCAGCCCTTGGAACCTGCAGCATCACAGAACAGGGAAGGTCACTCGGTCAACTGCATGGCCAGGAGCAGTACAAGACCGGTGCATGGCTTCATCACGGAACTCAGCTGAACCCATCCAGTAACGTACTTCCTGTACAGCTGTAGCAAATGAAATCTTACATTGTGAATGCAGCAGAACAACGTTCATTGCACATACACATAATACCAGTGCTGCAAAGGCCGTGCAGTCCCAAAGCTGTTTACTCATGCCGGGTGTGTACACGAGATGGCTATTACTGTACAGTAAAACCTATTGTAAGCGCCCTCCCCCAGTTTGCTGATGGTAGACTCCAAGCTCAGAGGTCGTCGTCCACAGCAGAGTTGAAGACTGAGCTAGAAAAGCAACGTACCATACGGACAGTTGGCCTCCTCTCCATCGTGTGTGAAGAAATCATCCTTGAACGGCACAACTCCAATTGACCAGTAGAACAGACTCGTCAGTCCTACGCAAAGACGGCCAGACAGTAAACAAACACATACCAAGTTACCAACACCATCACTCCACTATTACATCACTATTACATCACTATTACATCACTCCACTATTACGACCGTATCCATTTTGCTGCACTCACAGCTGCAGGATCCTGAAGGAACTTCCACACTACAGTACAGGCCACAGTTAGTCCTAGAACAAGCACAGTGCACAGTGTGTATTATGCTTCTCTAGCATCAGCAATCAGCAATCCCCTGCACTGCCTGCACTGACCTACGTTCCAGTTGGTGTTGCCTGGGTGATAGTCACCGGATGCACGCGCCTGGGCAGCACACATGCAGACACCCACACCCACACACACACACACACACACACACACGGAAAATACAGCACACATACAGGAATGCACATACAGAAAAAACATGTACTACCACATGCTATTACATGCTACTACTTATACTACTAGATAGCCTTGCTGAAGCGAGATTCAGGATTCAGGACACGTTTGCAGTGTAGGCAACCACGCTCATATGGAATTGCTTACAATATGGAACTGCATGGGAGTGACATGCTGCCAGGGCAACCACAAGCGCAGGGAAACTTACAAAGCGATGTAGTATAGTACCGGTGTATTTCCTAACGTGGTACTCACCTGAGTGACAGACTGAATGGAAGTTGATTGTAACATATGCATGGGCAGAGGCATGCAATACCTGTACAACAGAAGCAACAAGGACAGGATCAAACGATAGCAGCAACAGCGCACAAATAGAATGAATCGGATGAATGTACCCGAGTCACTTGTGCCGAGGAGGGTTGGCGCGTTTAACGCTACATGTGCTTGCGTGGGTGTTCATTCATCCAGTTCATGGCGTTCCCAGCTAGATTTTCTGATTTGCTGGTGTCGTGATGAACATTGCAAAATCTTCAATCAAGTAGTGCCAATCGGACATAGTATCTTCACTTCAGAATACTGTATGGAGCACATGATTATCACGACTCTGTTGCCAGCGGTTAACAACTAGATAGGATTTGTTGATGCTATGCAAAGGGGAGAGATGGTGTTGCTTCGCTAAACTTACTGCACCGAAATGTTGAGCTTGGACGCAGCAGAGCCCATGTAGAGCAACCAGTTCTGTGCAGCGTAAAGTGACGACTGCGTCACGCTCATGCGCTCGTACGTCGTCACCAGCCAGTCCTGCTCGTAGACGATCATACCCCAGTCCTTTGCTTTGGCCATGATGTAGTCAAAGAGCTTCTCGCTGACGGGCAGTGCACAGCTCTCCTCTGCTATGAACCAGTCATGGCTGTAGTTGTTCTCCGGAGACCACCTGGATGAGTGCACCGACGACAAGCATGCATACAACATCAACTGCAAACGACCAGGCATGTACAGCATGGATGAATTTATCCAGTATCGCATCGCAGTTTGCGATGCAAAATCGACCTACTGCTACTCAAAAGTCACCGTGACTCGCAGAAAACTGCGATACATACAGACTATCCATGCCTAGCCTGTGCTGTCAAGTAACATGCATACAATGCAGTGTATGTGGTGCAGGCACTCTCAATCTGCGTGCACATGTATGATTCAGTTGATTTTTTTGCAAATGGGCTTTCAGGCGTCACTCTCAAGAAGGACAATGTGGTAAACACCCAACCTTCAAAGAAAAATGCTAATCACAATCAAAGACTGCTGCACAATTGTGATTTTGTATAGAAGAAACTGCTATGCAAAAATATGACAATAAATTCATCCCTGTACAGGTAGGCAATTTCCCAGGCTCAATTGGATGGTTGATGTGGCTTCATGCATTCTAGTAGCCTTCCAAGATATTCTAGATGAGTGAGTGTCTGTGTCACATGTGTCCTCTATTTCTCCACGTGCATGCACTCAAATAACCAAGTTGTGAGCGCAACAACGCACCGAATACCACAATCGAAGAGCATTGGCAAGTTGCTTTTAAAACCCCACCGTTCCCGTACCATCGATTGTGCAGCACTAGGGGCAAGTCAAGCCATTTCTTCATGCCGTCCGGGAACACATCTGGTCGAGGCTCCCACAGCGTGACGGCGCTGTGGTGATCCTTGTAGTACCACCAGCTGTCGAACTGGAAATACGTGAAGGGAATGTCCAGCTGGGCAGCTTTGGCCTGAGCAGTGGGAGAACAGAGTGGGTATGCAATAGCACACTGTGTTACAGTAGCTATACTTGTGAGACAGACAAATTGCCAGATAGCCAATCAACTAAGCAAAAGCATCAGCAAGGGGTACAATGACCCACAAACTTGCACGCTCATAATTATCTAGTTTGAACGAGCAGGACTCCAGCTGGCTACGGAGTGCAATGCAGGCCCTAGTGTTGTCGGAGATCACTGCTCTGGACAGCTGGACATTGTGACTAACCTTGACGTCCAGCATAGTCTGTTGGTAGTTCTTCTGCGGCTCAGTCTTATAGTAATAGTACGCACCATTGTCGGTGTAATAGCCAAGATGGGAGATGGACGGGTCGGAATTGAGCGTAGATGGGTACTTGAGCACACAAAGGAACGCAAAGATGCACGGGGAAAGGACCTCAAATTGCGTCAGAACAACAAAAGAATTGCCAAACTCTTCAAAAGAGAAGATGCCTTGCCTAACATGTTCCATTTCCCTTCACAGCACGCTGCAGCTCAAGTATATTATGCACCATCAATTATCGGTGGAAGTTGAAGACTGCTCTCCAGATATTGGGTTATGATCGGACGGGCACACTTGTGATTTTGTGGCCAACCGTGTTGCACCCAAACTGCATGGCCAAGTGAGAAGAAGCTTGTCATCCGCACACAAGAAGTTTGTTTGATCTGCACTTGAATGTGTCTAACAGAGTGACTTGGTTGGAGACCTTGCTAAGCAATGGCAAAAAGTTTGAAAGTGGTGCATGGAGCCTACCTTCTTGCCCAGCTGCAGAAGAATGGATCCCCACCTTGCCATTGTAGACTGTACACCCTGCAGGATACAAGAAGAGGTGAAGAGGGGAATGGAAAGGAGAGAGATAAGCAAGATACATGTCATACTTGTGCTGTAGCTCACAATATCTAGTCCAGGCCGCTGTGTACATTCAATTCGGCCCGTGGCCAGTCCGCTCCGCCCGTGGCCAGTTCCCAGTCCACTCCGCTGTGGCGGTCCAGGACCCCGTGACCAGTCCAGGACGCCGTGACCAGTCCAGGACGCCGTGACCAGTCCAGGACGCCGTGACCAGTCCAGGACGCCGTGACCAGTCCAGGACGCCGTGACCAGTCCAGGACGCCGTGACCAGTCCAGGACGCCGTGACCAGTCCAGGACGCCGTGACCAGTCCAGGACGCCGTGGCCAGTCCAGCACGCCGTGGCCAGTCCAGCACGCCGTGGCCAGTCCAGCACGCCGTGGCCAGTCCAGCACGCCGTGGCCAGTCCAGCACGCCGAGGCCAGTCCAGGACGCCGTGGCCAGTCCAGGACGCCGTGGCGAGTCCAGGACGCCGTGGCCAGTCCAGGACGCCGTCGCCAGTCCAGGACGCCGTCGCCAGTCAAGGCCACTGTGTCCAGTCCAGGCCGCCGTGGCCAGTCCAGGCCGCCGCGTCCAGTCCGTTCCGCCGTGTCCAGTCCGTTCCGCCGTGTCCAGTCCGTTCCGCCGTGTCCAGTCCGTTCCGCCGTGTCCAGTCCGTTCCGCCGTGTCCAGTCCGTTCCGCCGTGTCCAGTCCGTTCCGCCGTGTCCAGTCCGTTCCTCCGTGTCCAGTCCGTCCTCCGTGTCCACCGTTCCTCCGTGTCCACCGTTCCTCCGTGTTCAGTCCGTTCCTCCGTGTCCAGTCCAAGCCGCAGTGGCCAGTCCAAGCCGCAGTGGCCAGTCCAAGCCGCAGTGGCCAGTCCAGGCCGCCGTGGCCACTCCAGGCTGCCTACACAGGTATAGCAACCTACCCGTACTATAGAACGATGTTCATTGATCCATAGCACTAGGCAAGGACAGCAATACATGTAGCTAATCTGATAATATTCCGTTGATATTAATTAATTTAAAGAAAAGTTAAAAATATTGTTTCCACACTAACCTGGCCGGCCACAAGGATGGTAGAGTAGACATATCCCTCCGGCAGTGCGTTGACCTTTCCTCCAATACCATAGGCAATAGAGTTACCAAATGACCTGAAACAAAATAAGAAAAAGTTAATTCTCTTTGCCGAAAAATTCACTCTGCAGAAATACGCCGCGCACCTGAAAGTGTAGTCCAGTATAGTGCAGGGTATGCCACATAGTGCAGGGTATGCCACTCTAGTAGAGAGGTTAAGATGCACGTCATTTCTGACGTGACGCGAAAGTTCAGCTACTTGAAAGACAACGAGAGTGACCTGCAGCTCATGTCGATTTGGAGTTGTACGCCAAATTGCGCGTCATGTAAGAAATAACGTTCATCTTAACCTCTCTATTATCTGACTGCTTGCTTATCCAGTATAGACACTGGCTCCTCCTAATGTAGGTATGAGTGGTACATGCCCAGCTTTCAGAACAAACTTAAACTGTACCGTGTCATCAACTGTAGGCAGGAATGAGTACCGTACTGGCAATATATGTTGCCGCGTAACGCAGGGGGTGCGGCGTAACGCGCGACCAGGCTAGTGCGACAAATTTTCGTGGCGTTCGTAACGCGCGTCCGGCGGGGTGCGGCGATCTTTTCATTGCAGTTTGCAAAAAATGATGCGGCAATAGCAAAAAAATGATGCGGCAATAGCAAAAAAATGATGCGGCAATAGCAAAAAAGTGATGCGGCAATAGCAAAAAAAGGACTGCGGCAAAATAGAAACCTGTGTAACGGCTCCTGTGCGACTTTGCATGTAACGCCCTGCGTGCGGTAAACATGCGCCAATGTAACGCTTCATGGCCTCACTGCGACCATATATATTGCCAGTACGGTAGTAAACATTTCTCACGTTTCAAAACTTACTTGGATCGTGACGGGTAGCTGACCATGAAGTTATTCATGCTGGACATCACAAAGGTGTCCAGTGATTTATCGTACAGAACCAGTGGCCTGTGAGGGCAGAGAAAGATAGCCAGGGCATACTAATAATATTAGCGAAACTGAGCTTTTGGGACCAGGTCGAAACTAGAAGGCGATGGCACACTTTTCACTCCATGGGCAGCTTGCAAAACGTGCCACACAGTCATATCAAGAGTAGATAAAGAAGAGTGCAACTCTGCATCTCTTCTGCACAATCTACAGATACCCCAGCCCACGGCGGCCATTTTTGTTGATGGCACCTTTTTCAAAAACATGTGCATTTTGCCGCAGAGCAGTGTGAGAGTACGTGCAGGGCATCGACCTTGTAATGTAAAGCTCCGCCAAGTGCACGAGGCAAAACTTCCCAAAAGACCCGCAGCGCGTACGTACTAGAAAAGTACGTCAACAAATATTTCCGCCGTGGGCCAACCCACCCATGAGTTGCACACTCTTGTTTATCTACTCTTGGTCATACTGATGTCACTTGGATCTTTTCTGTCCCCCAATTTCCCCAAGCCAGAGTCCCAGGGTCAAGTCCTGGCGGGTGGCATACTTTTGCTTTCTGGCAATTCACTACCCTGGCTTGTTAGCAGTGAATATGATGTTCTTACACTCCCATGAAATGCAGAGATGTTTTTCACTTTTCACTTTTCACACGGTGCTGTTTCTGGTGCATATGCCACGAGCACAATAGGATTTTCATGCACAGAAAGTGCCTCTCTTCCAGCCACCGCAGGGTGACTCAGTGTGACCTGAGGAGTACTGGGAGGTAAGGCCAGTTCCAAATCCAAGCTACTCCACACTTGTCCAATCACAAGATCTTTAGCACATTGGGCACCATTGAGACCAAATATCACCCCCGCAATGTGACCAGCCTTCCGAGAATATGTACATCAGTTCATTCTTGTGCCATCGTCACCAAGCACAATGATATCATCCATCAACTTCGGATGTTGACCTGTCTGGGCTTGCAGCCTTCCTGGCATGTGGCCTAGTTGCCCTCGACAAGAAGCCGGGTGTGACCAATCGCTGTAGGCGAGGTGCTGCGGCGAATGGTCACAAAAGCCACACTGAAGGTTGTGAGTAGCGAAGATGAGGAGGCTTGTGGTTTCGTACAGAAGTGCTCCGGCCTTCCTGCCGGCAGTAAGTGTAACAGTTTTCCTCTCCACGCTCTGTTACATCACTACCTGTATACACCACATCTAACACCTTACTTCTACACTAATACTTACATGTAGCACCATACTTCTACACAACACCTAGCACCATATTCGTCAACACGCGCTCTTCTTATCTATGTGCTAAGCTTTCACCTCGTCCCGCCGCTCTTGCTGATTGGAAGCTGCGTTACGTTGCTCCTATATAGTTCACTGCTTAGTTTAGTTTTGTTGTCTTATTCTGAGATTCAATCAATACTGTTACATTGGTAGCAGAGGATGGTTGAACCAGAGTCCTTCTTGCTGTATGCTCTTTGCCTGGCAGTTGCTTTCTTGCCCCTTTTCTTTCCAGGTTGATCCGTGAAGTCAAAGAAGCAGGCGTTGATGGACGTTCAGCCTCTAGCCGGCTGCCTCAGCCTCACTGTGCTTCGCCTAGAACTCGACATGCCAAGGAGCCTATGCAGCTGGCAAGCTAGCCGTCGACTATGCCAGAGCACGGAAATTCGCCCCCGTATCGGACAGCTCCGCGGCTTGCTAAGCTCTCTCCTGAGGAGAGGGTGCGCCTAAGCCGGCAGGGTGGCTGTTTTGCTTGCAGGGGCCCGGAACACATGGCGAAGGATTGTCCGACTAACCCAAACGCTGGTCGCCAGTGAAAAATGGGGTGCGTTTGCTGGCGATGAGGAAAGGTGCACCCAACCTAATCGAAGTCGGCACCCGGTACGACAAGCTGATGATAGAGGAGCCAGCGCTTGAAGAGCTTGAACAGGCCACTTCCGAGTCCAGTTATCATGTCGGCAATGTTAATCTGGCAATGGCCGATGGTCGGCGGTGACGGTTTCCAGTAACGTAATCACGGTTTGACATTGCTACATGTAGGTGATAATTATAATGCCGCTTCTCATAGTGCATTTCCTTTCTGTGAGAGTGTACGCCTTTTCTCCTTCTATCTCAGTACACACTTCATATAATTATGCTGTATTTGAGTCGGGTCCTCATTCCTTACCACATACCGTTCATGCCATTGTTTTCAGTATGTGAATTGTGTTCCAATCCTCCACTATGGCAAATTGTGTTTTGTTTGCCCGTAAAAAAAGAGAGGCTTTTCACAATGACACCATCCATATCAGAACAATCATGTTGTCATCAAGATATCATCAGCATGAAAGCACCACTGAGAAATTCATTGACGAATCAGACAGTGTGACATACCCGAAACGGTGACCTCCGCCAAAGCTTCCTTTGCCCCACGCACCCATCTCGCCATTGCAGAACGTGCCTGCAGTATAATGTTACATGAAGAGGGCACAGCAAGCAAGTATGGCATTGATTAGAGCCATGGGCGGTGCAGGCCAACTGGCTCGCTGCACGTCCAGGTATCAAGTAATTCTGTCCATTTTACCACAAAGCAGTGCTTTACAATTGTGGACTGATACCAGCCATCTCGAGTCTAACAGTTAGGTAGCTAACGAATCCTGGGCTATGTTCCCGAGCTCACGTGCGCATGGCGAACTGTGCCACGCTGCTTCATTGCAAGCGATTAGAAGATGACGCAGGTGCTTGAAGGTTGCGAGGACGTACGATGTGGTGTACTTGAGTACATGTATTGGGTACGGCCGTAGCAGGCAAGCGTGGACTAAATTCTTAGACTGATTCAACCCTACACAACCTTCATGGGAAGTAATTGCACAATATCCGCTACTACTGTAGTACTATACACATACACACATACAAGCACACCCACCCACCCACATATACAGTATACACACACATACACTGGTAGTGAATACCTACCCGACCAGGTCAAGTAGTTGAGCATGTCCGCGTCGGTCTTGGATTCGTTAAACATGGGAAATGCCGTGATAACGTCGCTGTTATCTCCAGTCGACATGTTAGTCATGGATGCCGGTATCATCTGCTCAAAGTGGATCACGTTCGAATTGTAGACATTGAACGCGGCTGCAAACATCTTTGCGCCGGCCGCATCGGTGAACGTAATAGTGGTAACCCTACAGACCATGTGACATAATGAAGGAACAGCACAGCGGACCAGGATGAGATCCAGGTCACAGTACAGACCAGGATGGGGTCCAGGTCATAATACAGACCATATGATAGGGTCTAGGATATAATACAGACCATGTAACATAATGAAGGAACAGTACAGACCACATGATAGGGTCCAGGTCACAATACAGACTATATCATAGGGGCCAGGACACATCTTGACACAGTAGTCAAGGATGACAATAGGTTGTTTAAATACTACACACTATACAGAGTGCTGGAACGACTGTATGGTCCAAGAAGGAGGACAAAGTCAATGATCATTGTGTATTTTCAGTGTCCTGTGTGTGGTTTTGAGAGGTTAGGATTTTCTAATCGCAAGTCTGCATTGGAAATGCCTGAGACATACGAGTACAGGGTTTTATAAAACGAAAAGAGCGTCCCCCCCCCCATGATTGAAGAAAGCACCACACAACTGATTGATGATGGCACTATGCACTGCCAACTATGTACTCAAGTATAGGGAAACGATCTCAATGCTCAGCGTTAATGCAGCTCCAGCCTGCTCAGGACCTGCTCAGGACCACACAAACACACGGAGTGGCATATCCACACATCCGTCATACCTATATTCACCGATGAAGCTGGCAGAGTGGTCGTAGAACACTCCGGATATCTTCAGAGAGCCATCCATTGTGCTGTAAACCTTGCCGTTGGCACGGATACCAAAGCCCGCGCCATACAACCACTCCTTGCCATTGTTGAGGATCTAAATATGACAACCACGTGTGAAAGTTGTATACACAGCACAGAAAGCTTGGTGGTCACAGTCATTTGTTCAAGAGAGCCTACTGCTAGCTACCCAAGTGATTTCTCAAACCCAGGACTGAGAAGTTTTCCATACGTTTCTACCATGGAATAGTAGAGTAATGTATCATAGCCGTACATGACCTCCCTGGTTTTCATGTCTCCGTACACACCCCACTGTAGTGTGGCCTCCTGGACAAGCAAAACAATCGTGCCAATCATCAGCAGCTCAAGTACGAAGAAATAGATCACTTCACCCAAAATGGAAATGAATTTAAAAAGTGAAAAGTTTGGAACACAAAAGGAACTCCAGGCATTTAGGTCACGGACTTAGAGGTGTACTTTTGAGTTTTAGAGTAGGGATTCACAGCGACCAGGTTTAGATGGGGACGTATGTGTGTGTGTGTGGGGGGGGGGGGGGAGAGAGAGGGGGGGGGGGGGACGAGTGACCAACTACTTTGGGCGGACTCTGCCATGCGGACAACGTGAACCCGGCAAACGACGGCAAACAACCAGGGGAATGATTTGCTTCCACCGGGCCTCAGGCAAGGGCGTTCCAAGATAGGGGAGCTACATTGTGTCAGCTATCAAGGGGGGGGGGGAGGAGGAGGGGGAGGGGAGACGACCGGTAGCCCTTTCCCAAAGATGCTCGCTATTTTTCGCGACTTTTGTTGGTTGTTTCGGAAGAAATCGCAACTTTCGCAAATTGCTTCATTTTCAATTTAAAAGTAAGAAAAGGACCAAGGAACTACAAGTTACGCTATAATGTCCACTAACACCACCAGTTACTAAACTATCAGCTCATGCGATAACATTGCACGACACTTGACCAACGGTACTGACATTCTACAACTGACGGTCAGTGTCGTGCAATGTTATCGCAGGAGCTGATTGTTTAGTAACTGGAGGCGTTAGTGGTCACTATAAAGTAACCTGTAGTTCCTTGGTCCTTTTCTTTCTTATAAATTAATCATTGGCTCTCCATCCGAGTCAATTGCTTCATTTTCGCAAACTATTTCGCTTTTCAGTAACCTTGGCCCATAGTCCCATGGCATGGGGGTCAAAAGTTCAAGTCACAGACTACATGTCGGAAAAATGCATACTCACTCGCGATCATTTCTCGCGTGCTTTCAGAGTTCAGGCTCATTTCAGAGAAACCGTGGATCAACAGCAGTTATGTACAGTTATGTGACATTAGTCATGGTATGTGACTTTTGCGTGCACTGATACATGTATGATGGAGGATGCATTCAACAGGCTACTTGCACGGTGTAAAGCTGTGGTTCACAGCAGGAAGGGATATACCAGTAGTTTGCCGTCGCTGCACTTCTGCTATTCCCGCAGTGCTCCTTTTTGGTGGTTTTTGGCATCAGCGAAAAGCCGCTGAGTTGCGAAAAATGATGGCATCTTTGGTAGAGGGCTAACTACCGGTATACGGAATCGGAAACTATTGAAAAGGCGCCGCGGGAAAATGGGAAGGTTGTGTGCAGAGAATAGCGAGACTGAGCTGAGCCATGGCGACTCCAGATAATAGGAAGCACCAGCTGGAGTACCAGAAAGCTATAATAGGGTTCATGGCAATACTACCGTGACAGTGTTACGTAGCTGGACTCTTACCGAGCACGAGGAACACAGTGCGATAAACAAATTCCGGCATTGCTTACCGAATACGCTCCGGTCTTTGTGTCCAGGTTGAGGCTGAGCTGCGCGCTGGCAGGCTGAAGCAGCCAAACCGCCAAGGTCAGCAGCGGAATAGCTACCTTCAACATTGTCCCAAACGGGCCCCCCGAGCCTTGAGTGATGAAAGGCGATGCGAGCGAAGCAGACTGACGCTTGAAAAGACTTGCAACGAGTTACAATGTCCCTGTTTTGTAGGTGACAAAGTCACTTCAGTTTTCACTTCACTTTGTTGACCTACGTAGCTACCGCCTATTTTAGGTGAGAAGTCGCACTGTGGCATGATTAGTGCTACAGTGCTGCCCAGTGCATGCCACGGCATGGGGAAAGACTAAGCACGAACCTACACGTACATGTACAGTCAGGTTGGACACACATGTCGGTCACGTGAAATTGAAATGTCACGTGCATGTGGATGATCATCTACACAGTTTATTGTACCTGAGCTGTCCGGAAATCAAGTAAACTCTACTATTAAACACATATTTTCATTCTTGTGCTGCACAACAAGCTACTAGTACATCATTACACTGTAGTAATCATTAGTTCTCACAATCTCAGCGATCAAGGTGATCATGCCATTCATGGTACATGTGCATGGGTGTAAGTTGTCCGTTATCGTCGTCCCTGTTTGTTCATGGTCACGATTTGCTAGTGGGTACTGTTCAGTAGGCCATAGGTCATCACTCCTCTCTGGCAAGACTCCTCTCTGGCAAGGGAAGGGATGTGGTTGCTCGAGAATGTGGGTGCTCCCGTCCCGTCCTCCTCCCACGCGCACACACCGTATGCACATGGCCAGATCACCCTTTGGAGAACCGCTATGCAGTAACATCATCAGTTGAGATGCTTTGGCAAGGTTGCGGCACAACGATGCACTAGCGGCTCGCTAGCGACTCACTCATCAACTATTCATAACGCCCATAAGCGGTTCCACTGTAACTATTACTTATACTTAACGCCCATAACTTGCGGCAGTTCTGGAATTCCGCTGAGAGACCAGTATGGCTTCTTTCGCAGAGCCTCTACTCGTATAAGACGCAGCAGAGGCACTGGGGTGCTGCAAGCTCCTTCTACGTGTGAATTAACCCCCTCTGGGGGGCACACACCCCTTCCAGTGAGGGAACCGGCTCACCGTAATGCTAGGTGCATAGCACTGGTGAGAAGATGAGATTATGCCGCTGAGAGCAATTGAGAAGGCTTGATGCAATCATCGTAAATAGTTACTTGCACGATTCATGCCAGCATGAATTCCATACACGAATGAGTTGTTGATAACATTCAACGATCGAAGAATAAAATAAGATACATCATTGGGTATAATAAAATAAATAGAGAAAGGAGGGCTATCCTGGTCGGGAACTAATAATTAGTGTCTTGCCATGGGGCCCAAAGATACAAATTAATTGTTAGAGATTTTCGTCACTGTTAACTTGTTTTCATGTCCCATCATGTTCCAGTGCTATACGCCTATGCTAGTGAGTCGGCAAAGGGTGATACAGTGATACAGTGATACAGTGATACAGTGATACAGTGCTAATCGCAGATTCAGATTCAGGGTTACACAGATTGAGTAACACTTGCAGCACCTGGGCAATAACACACAGCTGTCCTCCAGTGTGGACCTGCTGATGTCAGCTAATCACACTGTACAGATGACACACTGTTCCCGGTGCACGTCAGTACCGCCGTACCGCTGGCCGACAAGGGGACTGTTGTGGGTGCAAACTCCCCGCTCGGCAAGACAGCGTAGAGTTCAACCACCTCGTGTGGAGCACCATTTACTGTGACCTGCGGAAGAGCAAAAAGAGCACCAGGGGTGTGACAAAAGCTTGTGTCCAGCAACAACGAAGCGATCGGTCATACATACTGAATGTTCCCTTCCACTCACAAGGCTTCCACGAAGAGAGTATTTCATTAAAGCTAGTTTCCCACCATCACTTACTTTGAGGGGACCGCCTGCGGCTGCAGACGCCTCGGAAATTCTCTGCTTTGACATCGGGACAAACTTCTTGGCTTCGCCAACCAGCGTCCAGCCATTGGGCCATGTTTGAGCCAGGACCCAGTATTGGAATGTGACATTCTCAATTGGTAGCTAAGAAGAGAGAGAGAGAGAAACAAGAATGACAAGCAAAAGAATGAACAATGAGGATCAAGACTATCATATCTACTTCACTTGCACAGCCAACTCATGTCATCGACTTCTAAAGACTTTCCTCAGTGGCCCAGGAATGATCGTAGCACGCTCTCTGCAACACTTACCATTTCCAGAGCTGTTGGCTTGAGCGTCAGCGGTGATGACGAATTGACATGCTGGACATTTTGCAACTGGCACTCCTCTTGTCCCAGCGGACAGCTTGCGTAGTAGTCATACGCAATGAACGACACACCTGACGCCTCGCCTAGATCTTCGAGTGTGATCTCAGCACTCTCGGTTAAACTGAAAATGTGGGGAAATGGATCAGAGAAGGGAAAGAACAATTGCAGCTCAGTGTACCTTGTTAGGTGTGTGTGTGTGTGTGTGCCTGTGTGTGTGTGTGTGTGTGTGTGTGTGTGTGTGTGTGTGTGTGTGTGTGTGTGTGCGCGCGTGCGTAGGGGATGGGGGGGGGGGCAAGAGGAGGGTCACTGTACCGTATCAGTGTAGGATGGATCAGGAAGCAGAATTACATACAGGCACCTTCAAGCCAGATTTCAGAGCTCCCCTACCATATCCACTTGCAGTCAGAGCTCAATAGATCAATATGGATCCGTGTGAATATTTTGCACGGTTCACCATTTCGACATGTGCGTGCAGGTACAATGGACAGTGATCATACGTTCAATGTAAGTTAGTCAGTGTGTGTAGAACTTTCATACTGCACTGGTAGATGGATGGATGGATGGATGGATGAATGGATGGATGGATGGACGAATGGATGGATGGATGGACGAATGGATGGATGGACGAATGGATGGATGGATGGATGGATGGATGGATGGCTAACTGGCAGGCCGGCTAGCTAGATAGCTATCTAGCTAGATGTACATGTACTTACTTGACAGCAAGGATATAATGTGTAGATCCACCACTGATGGTAGTTTGTGTGTGCCAGATCTCAATGCGCTTCTGGCCGTCAAAGCCCAGCTTGAAGGCAGCATCGTGGTAGAGTGCCGGATGATCTGCCATGATTACACACAGGCATACATGTAGATGTTATGAAACAATCTACCTGATGGCAGAGTGTCCTAAATTTCAATTATGCAGAAGGTGAACAAGATTAGTTGTACAGTTCAGAGTATGGGATTCTCTATACATGTATTATAAATAATAGCAATGCTAGCATTGACTAGCTGCATACTTCGAAGTACATACGTAGACATCGTGATGAGTATACTGAGCCAGGCAATACCTTGACTGCACCGTGTGAATACATGCACTCAGGCTTTCTCTTGCTACTCCAAGTCCCACACACTCAGTGATAATAGAGGATTCACACACAGCCTACGGTGATAATAGAGTATTCACACACAGTGATAATAGAGTATTCACACACAGTGATAATCATGGAGAGGATTCACACAAAGTGATAATAAAGAATCCGCACACAGTGATAATAGAGGATTCACACACAGTGATAATAGAGGATCCATTAAGGAGACATTGAGCAGCACTATACTGGACCAGTGAACTGCCAGTATGGTCACACGCCTGCATTACTACATATCCAAGACTGAGTAATAATCTATTGTGATGCCAGTGAGGAGAGCTGAGGAGAGGCTGAAACTGCTTACCCGGTTTGAGTAGCAGTCCATCCTCTCTGCATGTCCTCATGATCATCTCAACATTCAGATAGTCTGGATGGGGCAGCCGGGTGGCAGAGATCACACACAGCAGACACCCTCAACTGTCAGTGTCCCGGGTTAACTTAACAACGTGGCATACCATATTTCCCCGATTGTAAGTCGCATCCCCATTTTCAGGTCCATGTCATATCGTTTCAATTATATTCACTTCAGTAGTAAGTCATGCTCGATTATAAGTCGCAACCCCTTTTTACCCTTGATTCAGTTTTGAGTAAATAGGTGCGACTTATATTCGGGGAAATCCGGAACTTTCATTGTGGAAACAACACTGCAACATACTTGACAAGTACAAGTATGCCCCACTACAGCACAGCACAGCACAGCACAGCACAGCACAGCACAGCACTACACAGCACAGCACAGCACTACACAGCACAGCACAGCACAGCACAGCACATCCAGCCATGCTAACATATTTGAAGTAGGTCTAACGGTCGGGCCAAAAGAGCTCTTATCCAGTTAGCAGACTTGAACACTTTGCATTACAGTTCCCTGATTGGCAGGGGCATAAAGCCGCCATGGGTACGCGATGTACTCCAACTACATGTACATGCACTGAACTGTAATTACGTGTTACTAGGGAGGTTTAGTCCCACGTAACGGATACGGGAACGTGGGTGATACACATAAAGTTCATGCAATGGACCCACGTTCGCAATGTTGTTTTTAGTCACACGGAACAAACAAAAGCATGAAGCGAAAGGCCCAGACTTGGTCAAAGACGAAGCTTCGATGCTCATCAATATTTGGATTTCGTGCTTCGGAAACTTCTTCAGCTAAGCACGCTCACAGCTTGCACAATGCGCTCCATTCCGACTTTCACCCACGTTCTGGTGGAACGTGGGAGCCTCCATACACGGTATGTCGTGAATCAGAAAACGTCTGTACGTGGGTCACTGAGTATCACGTGGTACACACATGTAAAGTACACACGGATTAATTGGGACTAAACCTCCCTACTGTACTGTAATCACATGTCCATGCAGTGCATGTCATTGCACTGGGTAGGCATCACTGAATCGCATTGGCCTGTGATCATACTTACCAATACCATCTGATGGTGCAACAGGTCCTCCGCTTAGAGTAGCTACCAGTGCTTCCAGTTTATAGTTTGGTTCAGAACAGCCTGATTTACCTGTGATCATCAACATACATTATATGCACAAACATGCCCCCAAACACAAGCACACACACACGCACACACACACACACACACACACACACACACACACACACACACACACACACACACACACACACACACACACACCGACATAGCAGAATACTCTCCGTCAAGAGATCAATGAAATACAAAGTCTAACATTTGCCATCACTGATATTGATATATCTGTGTGACCGACTTTTGAAGGTTTACAAGCAGGCTCTACCCACAACCATGGCAACCCTGTACTAGTTATACACCCTATGATCGTGTAGCTGTGACATGCACACATTGTTACAACACCCCATTGCAGATGTGAGGTGTTGAATAGGACACACAGAACAATTGAATGAATTCGCATCATCTACTTTTTGACCCATTAATTTTACACCACATCCCTTAGCATGACATTGTCCATTGAAGAGTAGAGGGTGAATACCAATCATGCTCTACTCTGAACTCTGCTGCACGACAAACTCAGACCGCAGTTGACTGTCGTAGGCAAGTCGCTCTATTCGACCCCCGTACCGTACGGACAGTTGCTCTCCGTGCCACTGTAGGTGAAGAAGTCATCCTTGAATGGTACAACACCGATTGACCAGTAGAACAGACTCGTCAAACCTAGGCAACCAAGGACATACAGAACACAGTGGGCAACACGCTCTGTTCGTATTGTTACAAAGTGACCCAGTCAACTGGAAGGATGTGACTACGCTCTATATTTACATGTTAACAAGTTAGAACAGGTACATACTAGTATCGTCAGATGCTACTCTACGCACTGCCATCAGCTTTTCATAACTTTCACCAAGCTCGTTGCAGTGCATTGGCCTAATAGGCAGGGGAAAGCACCGGAAGACTGTGATCATGATTGTTGCTTACCAATGTTCCAGTTAGTATTGCCGGGATGATAATCGTGTGATGCACGTGCCTGGAGGTAAGGTATAGTTACACAGGAACAAGTATATCCCAAATACAGTCACCGGCGGCGTTACTCAAGTTTGCGCCGTGCACCATTTCTCACCCCAGTGTTTGCAGGTCTAGGGCTGCGCAATGCCCGGCGCGTGCTTGAGTGACGCGACTGGATTTCATTGGGCAGCCGCGTGACTGTACATGTAACTTTTGTGTCACTGTGGTAGCACTAATACGCTCAGAAGAAAGCAGAGAATAGGACTCTGGAATCTAGCCTTGCTGGGGAACTGCACAGACAGTAGTCACCTATGCATCCAAGGTGTTCGTGTCGATTGCATGGAAAAAGGACATCGCTACTGTAACACATCTGCCCACAACACCTTGGTTAGTAGAGTTTTTAATACTCCCATACACAGCCTCGGAAGAGTCGGAATCTCATGCACGATAGTTGCAGCCTTCAAGGTTATCCATGTTGATGCCATTGTCCGGCAAAGTATGCATGTCCTCAGGGGGGCGCACACACATGTACAACCATGTACTTACATGAGTGACAGGCTGAATGGTTGTGGATTGCAACATGTGTATTGGCAGTGGCATGCAGTACCTGCAGGCAAGAGACAAAGACACGAGAACGCCGCTGATGAACTGATTCATACAGAATCCTGACGTTAGTGTGAGTCGAGTCTACGAAATAATTTTTCAGGGTCAATGCTGCATTGTTATTTCTCAAGCATGGACCAGAAATCCACCCTCCAGCCCATGGCACAAACAACACAAATACCAGAATGTAGCACTTTGATTCCAATGGTGGAGTGCGGGAGTAGCATAGACACCTGTGGGCCTATAACCCAAGGGGGGGGGGGGTAGCTTCAACACCGGTGGGCCTTTACTACAGGGGGGTAGCTCAGACACCGATGGGCATTTAACCCAAGGGAATGGGGGCTTAGACACTGGTGGGCCTTTAATCCCGGAACTACGAGTGCACTGTGACAGCAAGGTGTGATATGACCAAGAACATCACAAGGGTGCCTGGGGACGACCGTGCCAAACATGTACCCTTGAGACCCCAGTTTGGAAGGCAGTACTGGGAAAGCGAGGACAAGTTCACAGGTCTACTTGTTTTACAGCACACTACCCTTCAACAAAAATAGTAAAATACAATGTCATGTGGCACGCTACACTGTCGGCTTACTGTATTGAGATGTTCAGCTTGGCTGCAGCCGCACCCATGTAGAGCAGCCAGTTCTGAGCAGCAGATAGAGACGACTGTGTCACATTCATCTTGTTATACGTCGTCACCAGCCAGTCCTGCTCGTAGACAATCATACCCCAGTCCTTTGCTTTGGCCATGATGTAGTCAAACAGCTTCTCACTGGATGGAAGCGCACACTCCTTCTCGGCGATAAACCAATCATGGCTGTAATTGCTCTTGGGAGACCACCTGTAGTAATGAAGAACGAAAAAAGTGGTGGGAAGGCACACTGAGCATGTGATGTGCAACTCGAAACATGAATAGTCGCTTTTGTTCACAAGCCTGTCATATCCAGCTCCATGCGCTAGGTCAAGTTAACCAATTAGTGGCAATTACATGCCTCCAACCTGTTACCATACTAGATGTATGTATGTATGTATGTATGTATGTATGTATGTATGTATGTTTGTATGTATGTATGTATAACTCATAATCACAAGGTGATCGTAGAGGCATTAATCAGCGAGAGAATTGTGAATGATGTCTCTGAATCCAACTCTATCATGTGCTGCATGAGAGAGAGAGAGAGCATGCAAGGGAAGACCCGTCCAACTTTTAATGTTAGAAATCTATGATGTCGCGGGCCTTCCTCTCGGTCGAGATCCAGGAGTTGATCCTTGCAGGAAAGGCTTGGAGAAAACGTCATGTCTCGTAACATGGCCAAACCACATCAACTTAAATTTCTTGACTTCGTTCGCTAGCCGCATCCTTGCTCCGATGATGTCATTTATTTCTTCCAGGATAGATTGGTTGGTATGCCGGTCGTGGTATGTTACTCCTAAGAGTTGGCGGAAGCATTTCATCTCGAAGGACGAAATTTTTCTCATTGATGAGGCAGATAATGTCCAAGATTGGCATCCGTATAAAACAGTCGCTAGCACAATAGACCTAACAAAACGAAATTTAGTGGGCAAAGAAAGTGATGGCGATTTCCAAATGAATTGAAGCTCAATGATCTTTTGCTTCCCTAGTGCTAAGCGTCTTCTTATCTCCACATCGGACTTGCCATCCGACGTGATTACTAGATGTAAGTCAACAAATATTCGCCGGATATTTATTTTCGGCCTGGTAATGTTTGGCCGAAAATTTGTTGCGGCCGAAATTTTGTTCTGCAATGTTCAGTGTGACAGTGTATACAGGCGGCAGCAGTACAGGCCGAAATTTTGATGCGGCGTGCGAAATGGGTTTTAGCCCTGGGAGGTCGAAATTTTGGAATGGGCCCAAAATTTGTACACTTACACTGTTCTGACCTCGTGGGGAATTCAATGTTCACTCTCAGAAATTCAATGTTCACTCTCAGAAGTTCAATGTTCACTCTCAGAAGTTCAATGTTCACTCTCAGAAGTTCAATGTTCACTCTCAGAAGGCATTATTCACTCCACACAGGTAACCGTTTATTCCGAAGAAAACCAAAAGACAGTAAACTGAAAACCAACATGCTTCTCGCTCATACGGCATCGAAAGTTGTTCCTGCCAGAGAGAAGCCTAATAAACCCTTTGGTGCCAAAAATGTCTCCATGGTCTTGCACAGCTACAAAGCATAAAAGCAGCGATCGCAAAGGTTGCGCATCGCGTAGATCTACGCACTGCAATGAGGCTTGTCATGTACATATATGAGCAGCGCTGGCTGGCGTGGCAGACGTGCTACAGGTGCGCTGCGTGCTGCGTAGATCTATCATACAAAGATCTCACATACAACAAGCTAGGCATTCATGCAAACAGAGAGGGATACTAGTACTAGTAAACTAATGAATGGTGCAACATGACAAGGCGAAAGGGCAAGATGCAAGTGCAGTAACATGGATGAGTGCACACACATGAACATACAGTATCTACACACTATAACAAGAGTAGATAAACAAGAGTGTGCAACTCCCGGATCCGCGCGGATGGGTTGGCCCACGGCGGAATTTTTTGTTGACGTAATTTTTTTCGACCACCCACGCGCTGCTAGTCTTTTGAAAAGTTTTGCTTCGTGCACTTGGCCAGGCTTACATTACAATGTCGGTGCCCAGCACGTGCTCTCACACTGCTCTGCAGCAAGAAGCGCGTTTTTCTGAAAAAAGGTGACGTCAACAAAAAATTCCGCCGTGGGCGGGGTATCTGGAGATTGTGCAGGAGAGATCCGGAGTTGCACACTCTTGTTTATCTACTCTTGATCTACTCTTGCTACTACATGTACCTATCGTGACATGTCATTTGTACATGAGACGACACAGCAGTTGTGCATATAGCAGACAAAACTGCACAATCACATACCTCACACAGTGTTCTAGGGAATGGAACTTAGTGTGAGTTGGTAGATGCCAAGAGAGTTTAGGTAACACAAACTACAAACTACGGGCTGCTTAGCAAGGGGCATAGCTCTTTGAACACGGTCAGACGTTGCTTACCCAGTTCCCAAGGCAACAAATGACAGGCCACCTGGAGTAGATCATTCTACAGCTTAAACTATGAGTACGGAGTATAGGAAATCCAGATAGGTAGTTCCGTTTTATAGGGCTGAGAATATTCAGCTAGGTACATTTAACTTTGGATTTGCTGGTTATTCTCGCCCTGACGGCATTTGCTCTTGTAGCATTGTTGTATATAACTTTTCTCCACCTGCTCCCAGTCCCGTGTCATCTCCACACTTATACAATGGGTGACGATAACTACATTTTGAAGACTGTTTATTACAAGACGGCTACGGAATCACAACTAGACATGACGAACTCAAGATGAAGACTGCTTTTCACACCACAACAACGCGCACATGCACCAACACGACGTACACACGACGTACACAAAATAACGTACTACAACAGCATCATGCAATGTCACATATGTCTGCATGCCTGGATGCTAGTGCATCACGCCCGCTTACCATCTGTTGTGCAGTACAAGTGGCATGCCCAGCCATGGCTTCATCTCGTCTGGGAATACGTCCGGCCGGGGTTCCCAGAGCGTGACGGCACTGTGGTTGTCTTTGTAGTACCACCAGCTGTCAAACTGGAAGTAATGGAAGGGAAGTTGTAGCTGTTCTGCCTTGGCCTGCATGCGCAATAGAGATGACACGATGAAGAATGGACAAAAAATTCTGATATGTTTGATCTTGGCATGGTAGACTCAATCTATATCTGTGTTAACTCTATCATGCAGTGAAACTCTGATATGAGGTACCCCATCATGCTAGTACTAGTAGTAGGAAATGTACGTACCGGTAGTATCTGAGGTACTTCAAGTCTTATCCTAACACACTTCAATATGGGGGAATGCACCAGTGACCTGGACAATGCCAGTACTGAACAAGTGTTCGTTTTTTCAGAGTATGTACTGGATGAACAGTCCACTGTATTTGGTAGGGCACATTCTCAGCTGTGAACAAATTCAACTTGCATGATTGACGCTGGTGAGACTTGGATTACTGGCCAGCCTTGCTCACCTTTACATCCAGCATAGTCTGTTGGAAGTTCTTCTGTGGCTCAGTTTTATAGTAATAGTATGCACCATTGTCGGTGTAATAGCCAAGATGGGAGATGGACGGATCGGAGTGGAGTGTAGACGGGTGCTTGAGCACAAAGAAATGATGCCAACAACAGCAACAGCAATAAGCCAGGATGAAAATCAAACTCCACGATCTTGTTGCAAGTCCTTGGAGAATTCAGCCTGCACCAAGGTACGGGTACCATGCGTGCATTCTAGAGAGTAACAGCTGGAGTCCTGGGCTGTCACACTCCGCCAGTCCCGGGACACGCTAACCTATGTAGCACTACATGATCGAAATGCTGTACAGCTGGTGAAAACAGACCGAGTCACGATTGCGGGCTCTGAGAACAAAGAGAAAAGAAGTGGAAGTGAGATGAGCAGAGAAGAAAACGAGGTTTGTGGGGAGCACCATAATAGAAGCACAGTTTCACAGCCTACAGTACCGATACCTTCTGGCCGAGCTGTAGAAGAGTAGAGCCCCATTGTGCCATGGTGGACTTCACACCCTGCAATATAATCAAGCCGTGGCAACACAATCAGCAGGGCTTAAAACGGTCGCAACTTTTGCATGACCGGGAGTCCTATAAAGTAACGTTTGGATAACCGGTTATTGAACTTCAGCACATATACGCGAACATGAACCACACACCATTTTTATTAAACACGATTGAGACCTATACATTGACATCAAAACCAGGCTTTCTCGTGACTTCAAGCTGATTTGTGGTGATGAAGACGAAACGTGATGAAGACGGTTTCGTCTTCAGTACCGAGCCGAAACCTACAATTTCCTCCCCACTGGATCTACAATATGTAGCCGTCACTACACCCTTCTCCAAATCAAAGCTCCCGCCCGTGAAAAGACATCAGTCTCCATTGTAGACACCTGCTCATGATCCTGAACACGGCGTTAAGATTAATGCTATACACCATGTACTGCTGCGTTATACATGTGCATGAAAAACCGTTTGAATTTGAACCTATCATGTGGGGCACTAGGCATGCCACAGCTTACCTGGCCGGCTACAAGGAGGGTAGAGTAGACAAAACCTTGTGGCAGTGCATCCACCTTCCCACTAATACCAAAGGCGATGGCACCACCAAATGATCTAGATAACAGTTAGCAGCAGTCCATGCAAGGAATACACATGTCATGTTGATCAGCATCATAGGACTACTAATCAAGGAATGATACTGACTGTTACCTACACTGTGGACCATAAAGCAATCTCTCCAGCGCTAGCAAGGATCAATGCTTTTGTTATGCTTGCCCGGAGGGACAAGTCAGATAGACTAGATGGACTACGTCTTGACAGAGCCATAGCAACCACACCAACTCTCACGACATACTGAGACCCTCTACTCCATGATGTAATAAGGACCCTCCTCCACTCCATGAAGTAATGGAGATGTGTGTATTACAGAGCACGGTCATGCATGCGGCTTGAATATTGGATAATCCAATTGCAAGTCCTTACTTTGAACGTGAATGGTAGCTGACCATGAAGTTGTCCATGCTGGACATGACAATCGTGTTGAGTGTTTTATCGTACAGAGCCAGTGGCCTGAAGGAGCAGACAGAGATTCCCAAGGAAAGAAACACTGGAAGTTGAAAACAAAGCCTGAACACGACCCCATCAATGAAAGACAAGAAACAGGACAAAACTGCAGGAAACATTATGGTACTTCGAAGTGGTGTCTACACGAGGTGACTGCGGGACAATTGTAGAGCGTCTGGTACGGCCTGTTCTTGCCCTTTGTCCCTCCCCCCCCCCCCCCCCCCCCCCACCACCATAACTCTACACCCGACTAGGCCTATAGTCAGTTTCAAAAAGATTAGCAATCCTGGCGATCGCCCGGGGAGTTTGCCGTCTTACCGTATGAGCGCTCGAGCGCTGCCTGGAAAAACTCACTGTGAACTCGAAGAAATATTCCGCGCGAAAGCATGAAAAATGACAACTCACTGACGTCGGTACTCGTACTCGTACATGTTCGTCTGGTTTACAACAAACGAGTTCTTCCTCGCATCGATATGGCCATATGGAGTCAGAGAGGACATGTCGAAAGTGTGGTACATTTTGACGAGCGGGATGCGTCCGTTTTGTGACCAAATAGATTGTTTGAGCTGCCGCGGATGCAATTTACTCTCACGATGTGACGAAAACGGCATCGACACAGACTCATTCCCAAGGCCTTGAAGTGGCAAAGCTATCCGTGTAACTTCGACGACATTTTTTAGAAAAGCAGACGCCTGTGAAAGCTGATAGAAGACGGCGTTGACTCCTAAATTCAAATAAATTGGCGATCTTCAAAATAATACTAAAATAATTCTCAAACAGAAATCGATCGATCGATGTGCCGGCGTATTCAACAACACGTAGCTACAGCGCAATGACTTCCGTGTTCACTCACACGGTTTCAGTGTTGTGTGTGTTCACAACTCCACATGGCGTGAGCCAGTCAAGTGTCAGCCAGTTCGGCAGGAAACGCGAGCTCCAACAACAAGTCCTTTGGCGCAGCCACCTTCTTTGTCACCAGCGTGATCACCAAAACAATGAAAAATGAAGAAAAAATGTTTGACTTGAAGATTTGTTGGGATTTGAACTCACAACTTCATGGTCAGCAGACAGCATTCATAACCACAAGGCCAAAAAGGAAGGGATAAATCGTGGGTTTTGATAACAAATCGATACTGGCTTCCAGGGAAAATTATAAACCATGGGAAAAGGCCAGAAACCTGGCCGAAATACTAACTCCTTAACGGTTGGTCCAATTGTTCCGAAACCTTCACAGAACAATTTGCCGTGTCCTAACAAGCCGTGTTATGTATTTTGTTGTCCAAATTTCCCTTATCTTCATACTTTTTAAAACCCAAACTTGATTGCTAATCTTTTTGAAACAGACTGTAGTTAGTAGACTGGATCTTTTACAAGCTGATTGAGTGCTATGTGTGACGTTTTAACCATCAACAGGCACCGTGCGCGCACACCACACACACATATGCACACACGTCACATACACACACACACACACATGCACACACACACACACACACACACACACACACACACACACACACACTCTACATGTGCAGGTGCGTACCCATACTGCGAGCTTCCATGCAAGCTGCCTGAACCCCAGGCTCCAAACTGAGCATCGCAAGTCGTGCCTGCAACGCAACAAACACGCGGCAGCAGAGTCAGAGTACAGCATATGCACCAGTGAGTAGTAAGATCACTACTTTCTGGTATTACACTGCACAGAATGCAGCACCGACCTGCAGTTGAGCTGCAATAACCAGCATCAGACATAATTATACCGGATTGTCTTGGTTGGCAGAACAACGCCATGAACATAAACACCAGAGAGTATTATTACTACAAAATAAAATTAAAAAAATTGCAAAAGTGTGGTACGCTCCATATGGCCCTGGGTCTACAGTGGTCAAAGTTCACATCACGTTTCGTGAATACTTCCACATACAGTCAACTTCGCTAATAACGACTGCGGATATAACGACAATTCGCGAATAACGACCGAATTTCCATGCCCAGAGCAAAGTCCCATCTAACTGTATACATTTGACTTCGGATATAACGACTATCTGAATAACGACAATTCGCGTATAGCGACATGCTTTTAGTGCCCCGTGGTCATATTCACTGCTTGAATAACGACTTTCTGGGCTTTTGACAGCTATTTCAAGTACCTGTCAGTCAAGTACATGTACCTGTCATGCAGAAGTACCAGAACCTATGGTGCACTGGTACCGGTGATGGATATTATTGCACACATGCAAGAAAATGCAGCCAAGGGGGGGGGGGCTTTTTCTTCCTTTTTTTATCAAAATTGTTGGATTTACCAGCACACCTACATGTATATGTATACAATGTACATGTAGTTGTACATGATTGTACAGTAAATTTTCATACATGTACATATCTCTGGCCCTGTAGATGGCTCAAAAAGGCATATTTTTCAATTGATTTCCCTTGCATATTGAATTTTTAGTTCCTTTCAACTGCAATATGAAAATAAAGTACACATTGACATAGAGCAAGAAAAGAGCTTGATTTTGATATGCATATCATACTATACAAAATATGGGTTCACATACATTCAAATGGGACTTCGGTTATAAGGACACTTCGCGAATAAGGACATTTTTCTGATGCCCCGCCGAATGTCGTTATTGGCGAAGTTGACTGTACATGTACATTTTTACAGTACCAAACGAACGTGGTTTACAACGTTTAAAAAATCCCGGTTCGTGTGAGACTCGGTTTCCGCATCTGTAGGAACGCTACATCCGATGATCAAGGCGCATATGCAGCTCCTAAAGCGGTGGGAGGTTATCAAACCGACCAAAGTCGTCAAAGACCGAAAATTCCATTCGCTGCATGCATCCATGCTTTACAACGTTAGACAGAGACCAATCTGAATCTGTCAGAGATATGGCCCTTCCCGCTCGGCGTTCTTTCAGATTTTGTACAACTAGAAGCTATAGCATGCATGTTGGTATCGATCGTACTCCCTGTAACCATGGTAACATCACACATAGTACTCCCTGTAACATAAACTTAGAACAATGCACGCATGTACAATGAAAATCCGAGCCAGTGACAACCGTGTGCGCATCACTCAGTCAGCACCCGATGATCAGCTGACTAACGCCTGCATTCATTCCCGGTTTGGTTGTTGCCATGGGACAGTGAATAGAACAAAATTAGAATAAACGCATGGGGAATAACCGCATCGCCAGTGGTTGGGTAATACCTGAATACGTTAGATAGTTGAGCATTCCTGCATCCGTCCTGGACTCGTTGAACATGGGAAACGCCGTAATGACATCATCAGATTCACCGACCGTCATGTTGGACAGCGCCACTGGAATCACCTGCTCGAAATGCATCATACTGTTGTAAACGTTGAACGCCACGGCAAACATCTTCTTGCCGTCGGTGTCCGTGAAAGTCAGCATGGTGGTGCTACAGAGGAACAGGCAGGCAGTGCACGGCGAAACAGTTTGTAAAGACCTAGCTAGCGGGCCACCCGGCATTATCGATCATTTTCACGGAGTAGAACGGTTTAGTTATGCCCCCCCCCCACCCCTGAATAAGAAAAAAACACCCGCTGACTTCTCATCTGGAATGGATTAACGATCCAGCTATATATTTTTTTAAACGAAACTGGCCTCGACCCACCTATAGCCATGGGCCCACCAAAGCGAAAGTTTTCAATTTTGTGTGAAAGATCAATAACTTACGCAAAGTGATATCGGACTGCCACCTGCACGCATGCAGTGAATCAGTGGCCAGCACATTCATCATTCACCAGAACACGCATGTAGCTTACACGGGTCAACTCACTTGTATTCACCCATGAAGCTCGAGGCATGACCAGAAGACACGTCGGCAATCTTCAGAGAGCCATCCTTTGTGCTGTAAACCTTTCCTTTAGCACGGATACCAAAGCCTGCACCATGCAGCCATTCCTCGCCATTGTTTAGGATCTAAGAGAATTAGAAAATCGATACAACACCTCAGGATTAAACCGTGAAACGACGCGGAAACGACAGTTTTAAAATAGCAAAGAGATCGAGAGAGACCGGCTTGGAAGCTCAGGGCCCTGCGCTATGCTTTTTTGCCTAGCTCATCATGCATGTTATTAGAACTGATGGAAATGGTTTTTTTCCCCATTGATTGGCTAAAATACACTTTTTTGCTTTGCATTCGAGGGTAATACGACACCGTCTACCACTTTGATGACCTAGGCAAAAAAAACCATAGGGATGTTATACATTTTTCATTTCTCCTTTTTTTTTAAGACATATCGTTTTGTCTCCCCCTTCTTCCGTAGGTATGTGCAATGTGATAAAAAATAATAATAAAAAATAAATAAAAAAACCTGGGATTCGAACTCACTATCGCCCTGCATGCATTCCCCCGATACACTTCGCATACATTCTTCCAAGTTGCTTCACGTTATGATCTTGCATTTGAAAGCCCTATTTGAATATTGTGGCCAGCTGTCTTTGATGGTACGGTACGGGACAGGTACGGGATAGGGCCAGGCATGCCGATGGCACAAACAAACGCGGAATTAAAGCTGTGTGCACCCTGGCTAGTGCCAGACGTTACTGAAGTAACGTCTTTTGTATAGCTACGGGAATAAATAAAATTAGCTCTGCTGCCTTCTGTTCAGCCATGATATTCCACCGACGAGAGTGGCATGAAAATCGATCCATTTGGAAACCTTTTTGACTTCAAAGTCGTTGATGCTTGTTGATAACGGCAGAGCTTATTCTGCTAAACTAATAATGTGGAGAAAAAAAATGCTAAATTAATAAAATTAAAAATTCACGGTTCGTGTCAGACTCCGGGCTAGAGGCCGAGTTTTCCGCATCCGCAGGAACGCCACCACCCTTCAAGGATCAAGGCTAAGTTAATACATGTGCTCTAATGTACTCTGATAGTACGGAGTGCACAGAGTACAGTATGCTGTTCATACATGAACCTGTATTTGATTGTGTTTGTACGACTGAGTCACTGTCTCCGGTGTATGTATACTGATAGTTTGTGTGCCAGTGGTGCCAGTTTTCATTTCCATCCTGTACTTTTGATGCAAGGGACAGATGCTCTAGAGGTTATGCTATGACGTCAGAAATTGTGTTGCTTCGTGTGGAGTGGAATCATCAGGGCACACAGACAATTCGATGATGTAATTGCATAGGAGAGCTTGCATGATTCCCGGACCCCTGCACAAAAGTATCCATTTTCTTACGGAAAATGATTTAAATAGAACATGAATTTTAATCAATGAAGGATTGGTTGACAAAGCAATGCTTAGTACGTGTATACGTGATGGCTCAAGACCATTACCAGCCGTGACACCGGCTCACGTTCTCCGAGTCTCTCTCTCTCTCTCTCTCTCTCTCTCGCTCACACACACACTCCATCTCTCTCTATCGCCATGCTTACCGAGTATGCTCCGGTCTTGCTGTCCAGGCTGAGGTTGAGCTGTGCGGTTACAGGCTGCAGCTGTAAGACCGCTAGGCCCATCAGAAGAAGAGCTACCTTCAGCATAATCCAATGTTGCCCTAGTGCTATCAGCATATCAGCTACAACAAAAACCGTGAAAGGCAATGGCTAAGCCCAACGCAAATTGCCTGTGACCAGTCACCTAGTTGCGAAGCTCAAGTAACCTACACATATGCCAACGACGGCTTATTGAAGAATTTACGCAGACAGTCAGCGACAAGAAACTCACCGGTAACCCCCGGCCCCCCCCCCCCCCTCCCCCCTTTTTTACTGGTGAATTATTTCATTGCTGTGTAAAGGATCCGGCCTGGCCGTTCTGCATCTGTCAGTCGGAGACATCTCTCACTCACAGTCTCAGTGCATCACTACCGTACTTACACATTGTACTTCAGTTCAAGTCTTATCAGCATCACTTTGATCGCCGTCGAGTTCGAGATGCTAACCTCGCCGAGTCGGATACTAAAAATAGCGGCTTGTGCCAATACAAGTGGCTTCAACGGTTGCGCATGTGCTAACCACGAAAAACATACCAGGGCACGGGTGGGCCATGGGCTGGGCATATGCCGGCATGGGAGCGGCACTACGAGTACGAGTAAAAAGAGGAAATACCGCGCCATGGCAGGAAAAGGTCAAGAAAACATCGCTGGTAGATCTACCATGATAGATAAACCTTGTTTTGTTGAAACATGTTGTCAAGGTTGTTGGTTGACCGCATGATGACTGTAACAAGGCGGAGGACCACTGACTGTGTTCGGAAACAGTGACCTTACTACAACCATCCACGGTTGGTAGAGCCCCGGTCTTGTGACCATCTGAACCGTATGGGTGTTAGCCCCGGTTCTGACCCTCTGTATTCTAGGTCGGAGTTGTCTTGTTGTTGTTGTTGTACCGTCAGTCTAGTCGCGTGTTCTTTGTTCGCTCCTGGATGTCTTCTTGATACTCAGTCCTCATAAACTTTGTAGCTGTTGTTCTGAATTGTTCTTCTTTCTTCTCTAACTGAAACTGTTGTCAGCTGACGAGCTGAGAGGGGGGGGGGGGGGCGCCATGGGCAGAAGTAACCCTTTAATGGAAAAAGAAAGAAAAATGAGTATAACAAAGAGAAGAAATAAGAAAAATTCAGAACAAAAGCTACAGAGAGCGGAGTCCTCCGGTTCGATAGAGTGCTCAATGCGGGAGCAGAGCAGTAACATACGGGTCACAGGAAACCACGCGTCTTGATTGTCGTTACTTGAAGTTTCATGCCATAATTATAGCAATCTTCAGACAACTGATTACAGTGCGGGGGCGTCGCACATGGTACGGTCACGACGGTATTGACCGTACCACTATTTGCCCAAAGTACCACGTAAATCAATAAAATGCACTGATTTGGGCTCTAAATTTCCAAATTTTTCGGCTCAGCCATCCCTCCCCCACGAGTAAATTGTGCTTTCAGATGGCTGACCGTACCACACTAAAATGCCTTCCGATGCCCCTGCAGTGATGCACAGCTAGTATGGTATTTATACAGCAGCATAGGAAGGAATGTGTGAAGGTTTGAGGTCTGGTGGGTGCAAAAAGTCCTGGATGGAAAATGTGCCAAACTCACATCGTCCCTGAGTGAGAAAAGAAATATGATATGGCATGGCAGGAAGGCAAGCAAGGCTGTGTGAAAGGATGATAATGATAATGTGGCTTGCCTGCAATCACAATCATGCAGGTGCAAGATGCCACACACTTTGGTAGGCGCTTAAAATAAGTTGGAGGAGGGGAGATACTTGCTCTTCAATGTACCAACAAACAGGTGCAAGATGGAAATTTCCACGCGCTGTGATGGCTTTAGGTGCTTAGAATAGGCGAAGAACATGAAAAGAAATGACCATGATGACGCGACGTCAAGCGAGGCTATATGCAAGATACCACACCCATAATTAGAAGGGCTGCAGACGGGTGCAAATGGCTGTCGCGCGTCATGTGGTTGCAAGTCACGTGACTCCGTACCCACCAAGCAGGAACTTGGCAGAGTGCCAGCTCCGTTCGCTTGTTGAGGGAGGTGCTGCGATCGGATATGCTGATGTGATATTTCTCTGTGATACATAGGTTGCAACGCTTGGTGACATTGGTGTAAGCCCGTGCACGTTCCTTGATGGACCAGCCAATCTCATAGGCCTTGTTCTGGTGTTTTAGGCTCCAGACATACTTTGCCAGCTCCGTACTTGCTTCATACCGCTCGTGGCGCAGCGACGTCGTATGATTTCCATACCTGGACTTGAAATCCGGTGCCGACATTCCGGTGTATGTCTTCAGGGCACTGCCCGACGTTACTTCGGCCTCATACACCACATTGGTCGACTTGCATTCACCTTTCAGTGGACAAGATGCGGCGACTCGGCAGTTGCAGGGGACTTTCTCGTGCTTTGGTTGCATCATTTTCTTGTTGTGGCCTTTGATCCGCGTTTCCATATTAGGCATGCACTGCGGCTATAGCCGACTTTCAAGGTGTTTCTGTTGAAGAGCTTTCGCAATTTGGCGTTCTTGGGGAAATGCTTGCTTACTAGTGCGAGAAACTGGCCTCCGATGTTTGTCCTGACATTGGCGATTAAACCAGATGATGTCTCGCCCGCGTTTCCTCTTGCGACTTGACGGAGTGTTCACATCGTCGTACACAAGCACTCTGGGGTGGCCGGCCACTGGCAGCTAGCGCGTCGGCGTCTTTACAACAAGCACTTTGGGGTGGCCACTGGCAGCTAGCGCGTCGGCGTACTCACAAACACTCTGGGGTGGCCACTGGCAGCTAGCGCGTCGGCGTACTACGAACAAAAGCTACAAAGTTTATGAGGACTGAGTATCAAGAAGACATTCAGGAGCGAACAAAGAACACATGACTGACGGTACAACAACAAGAAATAAGGCAACTCCCTAGAATACAGACTGAGAGGGTCAGAACCGCGCGTTAATTTAACCGGGGCTAACACCCATACGGTTCAGATGGTCGCAAGACCGGGGCTCTACAAACCGTGGATGGTTTACAATCATGTAAAAAAAGCAATTCAGGTTAAAATAGCTACTATTATTTATGACCATCAGGACGCGCCGACATCCAGGAGTGATCACAGAATACACGACTGACGTTAGGAGAAGTCTGTAAACTCCCCAAGCATAATGAGGGTCAGAACCGGGTTCAACACGGTCACCCATACGGTTCAGATGGTCCCAACGGACAGGGGCTCTACCAACCGTCACGGCGTGGCCGTGGGTGGTTGTAGAAAGGTCACTGTTTCCGAACACGGTGTCCTCCACCTTGTTTCATGCTGTCAAACCTACAACATGATTGTACATGTATGATGATGACTGACAGCATAGCACAAGCTACGGAGGAAACACTGACAGTAGCTGACTGTATGGAAAACAGTGTTCCTGACTCCATACATTGGCAGAAATTAGCAAAAAAGCACAGACACAACCGACATTACCCTCCCCCCCCCCCCCCTCCCCAAGAAAAACCAAATGAAACATAAAGAGCAAAGACGGATAACCGCAGTCAGAGGATTGTAGTACCACGTAGAGTCTACGACCAGATTTCAACCCACAAGACGCTACTAGAGGATCAGGGAGTATCTTACTTGCTGCTAGGAAGTGTTTGACGATTCCCTGCTTACGACTAGTGTAGGTGGTTAGATCAGAGTCACTGGAATCTGATAGGTTTCACCACACAGCAAGTTCATGTCATGCGTGACGTCATGGCAGAGGAGGTGGCGAAGCGGGACCGCAGCAACAACGCGGTTCTCCGTGGCCTAGTGGAGGCTGACGGGGAACAACTCCAGTCCATTGTACAGGGTCTCGTTCCAGGTCTCGATGCTGGTGATGTCCTCAGCGCAGAGCGCATTACACCAAAGAAGCGGGGTGAGGCAACTGGGAACGCCCGTGCTGGCCCAAGACTGGTAAAAGTCAAGCTCACAGAGAAGGGAAAGCGAGTGTTAATGAATGGAAAACGTGCTGCTAAATATGGCGCACGTGATGTTTTTGTCAACCACGATCTGACACCACAAGAGCAGGCCAGACGTCGTGAGTTGATTCCAAAGTTTAAGGCCCTCCGGGAGAAGAATTTCCCCTGCACCCTACCTCGGGACGTGATCCTGAGTAAAGGCCGTCCTATGAGCACGGATGAAATTGCTCGCATTCTGCAATAGGATGCACGTGGGAACCCTTCTGTTGATGTCACATGTCCTAGTCCTATACAAGATTCCGAATTGAATATTGCTCATATCAACATTTCTAGTATACGAAACAAAGTGCATGATGTTCACAAAATATTACATGACCATAACATACACGTTCTATCCGTCAATGAGACATGGCTAGATGACTCCATCACTGACGCAGCCATCCACATTCCTCAGTACTCCGTCTTTCGCAATGACCGTAATCGACATGGCGGTGGTGTTGCACTCTACATCCAAAGTCACTTGGACGCAAGATTAATTCAACTCCCATCGTCAATTACCACGGCATTAGTACGTCCTGAGGTGCTCTTCGCTGAAATCAATGTGCCACATGCAAAACGAGACCAACTGATCACTGTTGGTACCGCTTACAGACCACCAGGACAGCCTGTCGCATTTTGGGAGACCTTCTCCTCCGCTGTAGACCACGTTATAGCGCGGAATGACAAGACCATCATTCTAGGAGATTTTAATGTTGATGTCCTAAAGAAGACATCACCACAATACGGACACCTACGTCAACACTGCCAAGAAATTTGTCTGCGGAATGTCGTGACCCAACCGACCAGGCTGCCCTCGGGTACCTGCCTCGATATAGCGCTATGCTCTGACGACCTTAAAACTTCCGCATGTCATGCCATTGCGCTGCACGGCATTACTGACCATCAGCTGGTCTTAGTAAAGACTGTCTTGCCTATGACTAAACCTACGAGAGTTGTGCGGCAGTTACGGAAGCCGCCATTGTGGAAACTGCCTGCAGACGAATGCACCGATTCTACAATTGTATGCTTGATGCACTCACTGATTCCGCCTTCCGCAGAGTACCCCCAGATGGCTCACCAGACGTTAACACAATGGCAACTAGCTTCTCTATTCTATGCAAAAGAGTTCTGAACGAAAAGTCGCCTGTGAAACAAATTACCATCAGTGCTAGGGCTAAGCCTAAACCACAGCCTTGGGTAAGCGATCAACTCCGACGGTTGTTAGAAAGGCGCAAGCACCTCCACGCGAAGGTTTTGAAACATCCCGGAAATGAATCTGTGAAACAGCAGTACAGGGTAACAAGGAGGGAAGGCACACTGTTAAATAGAAAGCTGAGACGAGAGTATTACAACAGGGAGTTTCGAGATGTGAAGAATAAGCCAAGGCAACAGTGGGCGCTTCTAAACTCGCTCACAGGGCGCAACTTTGTCCGTGAACAACCAAAAGCTACGTTAGGCGATCTGAGTGCCACATTTGCGTCCATTGTCACTGATCCTAATCCTTGCCCACCCTTGAGCAACCTAATACCTGACATCTCGACAACAGCTGACGCAGACGCCCCATCTTTTAAAGAATTTCGTGCCGTTTCAGCTCTGGAGATAAGCGACCTGTTGAAGCATTTAAACTGTGCCAAGGCAGCTGGATCGGATGACATTCCTCCTCTGCTCCTACGCCTCTGTGAGCCTGCCGCTGCAGGTCCCATAGCGCAGATCATTAACGAGTCCTTGAGTACTGGAATGGTGCCAGATGTGTACAAATTGGCTACAGTGTGTCCTGTCCACAAGTCAGGGGACAAATCTGAAGCGTCGAATTATCGCCCCGTTTCACTTTTGCCGATTGTTTCTAAGATCCTCGAGAAGGTAGTACATCGGCAAATGATAAGGTTCCTTCAAGATCACGCTGAGCTTCGTATTCTCCCAGACGAGCAATTCGCCTACCGCAGAGGGCACTCCTGTGAGGATGCGTTAACTCTCGCAGTAAATCGCTGGATGATAAGTGTGGACAAGGGCGAGTATTGCGGGGTTGTACTCGTGGACATGAGCAAGGCCTTCGATCGGGTACGCCATGAACTACTACTTAACGAGCTTCAAGCTATTGGCATAAGCGGAGTAGCACTACAGTGGTTCTCCAGCTATCTCCAGGGTCGACGACAACAGGTGAAAATAATTGGAAATAACAGAGGAGACGAGACACATTGTACACGAGGCGTTCCGCAAGGGTCGGTGCTAGGGCCTCTGTTATTCTCTTTGTACGTGCGACATGTCCCTGGAGTACTTCGCCACGCAGAGTCCCAACAGTATGCTGACGATATCGCCTTTTATATACACTGTCAGTCTACTGGAGAACTTCAGCACAAGTTGACAAGTGAGTTGAACAGACTAAATACGTACCTTGGAAGCATTGGTCTCATCTTGAATGCCCAGAAAACGAAGTTCATGGTGCTTCGGAAGAAGGCTCTGCCTCTTCCGCCGGATCTTACCATTGCATGCGGTGGTGTCGATATTCGACCTTCTGCCACAGCGCGTTATCTTGGCCTCATTATTGACCAATACCTCACATTTGAGGATCAAGTCAACCATGTATGTACATCTGTTTATAAGAAGATAGGAGCATTCCGCCGCTGCCGCCGTACAGTAGACCACACAACTAAGCGAATATTTTATTTATCCCTCATCCAATCCACTATTGAATACGCCAGCAACTCGTATGCTCACTGTCTTACACCATCTTTATACTCTCGCCTTGTTACTTTAAGTCATATCAGCATGAAACAGGTTTTTGGTCTCCCTCGCCGTACCCCGACTGTCTTTGTTTTGCGGCACGCTAAGTTATACTCCCTCGAATCTCGTCTCAACTTGAGGCTTTTTATTTTTGTTTTCCGCTGTATTCATCAGCTTACAAGTCCTCTTCTTTCCTCAATGTTCACCCTCCAGTCGGCTGCTACTTGCACCGAGAGGCGCACTAGAGGGCAATCATTCTCTTCACTTTCTTTGCCCGCTGCTACCACTAGATATGGCATGTTCTCCATTTCTTTCCTTGGCGCTGATAGGTGGAATTCTCTGCCTGTCTCGTGTCGTCAGGTTGAGCATCTATCCGTTTTTGTTTCGCTCTGTAAAGAGCACTTAGGGTTCCCTGTAACAAGACGGCAACGTCTGTAGGGCCTTCCCTATCAAAATAATAAATTATACTACTAGTACTACTATTCTACTACCAACAAAGGTGGCAGCCAGGTATAACAATACACCTACTAGCAGCCGAGCCCGTTGGCAAGACACCCAACACTATCTTTACTTAAGAAGTTAAGAAGAGGCACCTGTGACGTGTGTCTGTGTGTCACGCTCCTTATAGAGAAGAGGCACCTGTGACGTGTGTCTGTGTGTCACGCTCCTTATACTAAGAGGCACCTGTGACGTGTGTTTTTGTGTCACGCTGAAGCGCTGCGCATGCGGAGCAGCGCTGCCCTGAGCACGCGAAGCGTGCGAACAGTGTAGCGCAGTGTAGCTAGCGGCCGCAGAAGCACTGAGCACGCGAAGCGTGCGAATCGTGTAGCGCAGTGTAGCTAGCGGCCGCAGAAGCACTGAGCACGCGAAGCGTGCGAATCGTGTAGCGCAGTGTAGCTAGTGGCCGCAGAAGCACTGAGCACGCGAAGCGTGCGAATCGTGTAGCCACCACCACGTGCTGAGCACGCGAAGCGTGCTAACAGTAGGGAGGTTCTGCTATACGTGAAACGTAGAGAAATCACGTAGAGAGCAGGTGTCTGGGTTAGAGTCTACGGCTTCGCGTGTTTTGGCTCCAGATTTCTACGCGGAGATGGGGTTCTCTACGTTGTGGCACACGCAGAGAAAATGCGTACGGATTTGCTGGGTATCGATCAACTGCATGCAGAAATCTGCCAAATATGGAAGGGGAAATTCCCAGTACAAATTCCACGTGACTTCTCTAGGTAAAACACTGAAACGTAGAGCAGAACAGCACATGATTTCTTTACGTTACGGGAACGCGAAGAAAGTTCGCGTGATTCTTTGCGTCGCGTTCCCAAAACGTAGAGCAGAACCTCCCTAGCCCTAGTAGTGTAGGTGATAGCAGACACGATCAGTACGAGTAGCGGTAGCAGCCGCGCTATCATCGCCGAAGTCGCAACCACTACTTCGTATTGTTGTGCCCAGCGCGGGCTTGCGACTAGTTGGTTTGGAGGTGACAGCGTTGCGAATGACCGAGGGTCCTCGACGTCTGTCTCACCGTCCAGGAGCGACACTGACTCACGCTGCTATCTGGTGTTCACGAGGTGTTTGTCGCGCTGGAAACGGAGCGTCTCTGTAAGTTTGTATCCCTGGTGATGTTTGTGCCTGGAGAGCACTATATAAGTGGTGCTCTTCAGGCACAATCTTCCTCAGCCTACTCAACTCTCAAGCTCAACTGATGAGGGGTGAATTCCCCGAAACACTGGGTATTGAGCAGGGAGTGGTGCTTTGTTGCAGGTTTGCCGAGTCGAAGGTTCGATGGACTTCTCGTGTGCTCTGGATGGCAGTCGTGAGTCAGTCAAGTGTCAAGTAACGTCGGCGGAATAGCGCGAGCTCCGGTGTGGGGAGCAAACCCTTTCTTATAAATCATCGCCGAAGTCGCAACCACTACTTCGTAATAATAACAATAATAATTTTATAATAGCAATCAAGAGAACAAATTCTGCAGTCATCGCCACACTACAACGAAG